GGTTTGAATCTTCTCTCACCATTTATCAGCTGAGTGACTTGGGGGTTTATGATATCAGTCTGAACCTCAGTTGTTTTCTTCTGGGAGATGGGAAAAATAACACTCATCTTACAGATTAGACATAATGTATGTGAAAACACTGTCATGGATGCCAATGCATAGGAAGTGATCAATAAACAGTGTTCTTATTAGCTAAGCAAAATGGCCATACCAAAGACTCTCTCCTCTGTGTAGCCTTGCCCTATCCTAGCTTGACCAAATTAATTGCTTGCTCCTCTGGCTCTTCCAGAAGTTGCCTGCACTTCCATTTGTCACTCAATTTGTCCTTCCTTGTATCATAGAAGTTGATGACACACCTATCCATGTGCTCCTCCACTCAATAAAATTATACTGAGCATTTTCCATATCCCTGGGCTGTGATGGGCCCTGGGAATTCAGAGATGGGTACCAATGGTTCCCACCCTAAAAGGGCCTGATGATGGGCTTTTGGGACAACTCATGGTTGGTGTGCCCAATAGGCAGGGGTGTTATAATAAAAACAACAACACATTTTAACAATTTTATTTATTATAGTATTTATCATGGGAAAAACCAGCACTTTGTTCGATTTCTAGACATTTATATAATGCTTTAGTATTGCTTTTATAGAATAAAAGAATCATAATACGTTCAGTTTTTTCCCAATTTAACTCCTAAAAGTCTTAATCTAGTTTAGCCTAGCAACAGATATTTGAAAGAATAATGACAAAGATTGTGTTAGTGCTGGGCTAGAAAAGCTCTGGTTTTCTGGGGACTGAGTGCGAGAGCCCCACTGCACCACTGGAGCTCCCCAGGGTCAGGGACCAAGGCTTAGCCTATCTTCATAGCTGTCCTTTGAGCTGAACAGATCGTAGATGCCAGCTCCTTCAGTGCAGACATTAAAGAGGCGTGGGGAGTGCAGGTGGGGGCCTCTTGCCCAATCCTCCTGTAGCCTGAGCTGTGGAACTCATCTATTTTCTGTGTTGTATGAAGAAAACAGAACCCCAGATGGTGGGAGCGACTTGCCGAAGATCGCAGAAGTAGAGAGTGGCAAATGTTGTCAGTTAACATTTGTTGATTCCTTACTAGATTCAGACATTGGCGGGGGACGGAGGCAGCGGGCTTTACCGGACGGGGCAGGCGGGGCGGGGACTCAGGCTGTGCAGGAGCTGGGATTCAAGTTCCGAATGCGGTCTTGACCTGGGGCTGGAACTTCACCGCGGACTGGGGGCGGGGCCTCCAGCTCCTTCCCGGTGGCAGGAAAGTCCCGCCCCCAGGCGAGAGGAGAGCAGGGATTGGCTTTCCCGAGGCCGACTGACGGGTACGGCTGCGGCGAAGGCGGGGCCGCGAGCAGGAAGTGGGATACGGGAGGCTCGCGGCGCGCTGGCCAGCGGGTTGCATCCGCCACTTCGCGGCGTCCCTACAGTCGCTGGGGCGATGGAGGGGCCGGGCCTAGGCTCGCAGGTGAGTGCGACCGGGGATGGCTGACCCGGGGGCCTGGCGGAGCGCGGTGCGGCGGCTGCGGGGAGGCGAGGGCGTGGGTTGAGGAAGCTCCCCGCGGGGCCTGGAAACCCCGAGAACGATGCTGGCATTTCTCTGTGGAGACGGGAGGAGGAGGCCTGGACAGAGGATTGAGTGCCTTCGCCAAGCCTCCAGCCTCCTCGCTCGGGCCACAGCACCCCCGGGGACCGGTACTCCCCCGGTGCCTGGCCGGGACCGCTGTGGGGCCTGGGAGAGGTGTCAGGTGACACACCTGAGTTGGACCCGTCGGTCTTGACCTTGGGCCGGAGTCAGTGCGGTTCTGTTGATTTCCCTTTTGGCTGAGGCGCCGGGGCACCCGCCTTCGCACCACCCAGCCCTGCTGCAGCTCTGGTTCCCACACCCCTGCTTACTCCCTGGAAGAGGCCAGGCTGCTCGTTTAGGCTGGAGAAAGGGGGCTGGGAAGGGAGGTGCGGGGATAGCTGCCTGCAGAACCCAAAGGACTCTCTAATGTGGAGGTACTACCAGCAGCCAGATGTAGTTCCAGAGAACAGAACTGGCCGCTGGGGGGCGTTACAGGAGGTACACGTTCGCTCCAAGAGAACAAGATTTTTTGTCCTTTTTTGAAAAAAATGGCCCTTTCCCAATGCATATTGTAGCTGGTCACAATATGTTGAACAAATGAAGCATACCCAGATTCAGCCAACTTTTAGTGAGTGTTTAGCATGTGCCAAGTGCCTTTAAATGCATTATTTTATTCCAGAATGGACGCATCCTTGAGAAGATGGCAATCTCTAGATACAGATGAGAACACTGACGCTGTCTCCAGTTGGAGTGAGTTAGGCAGTGTTGGATGATTGGATTACTTGGCCTCTCAAAGAAGCCCAATCTAGAGAGCGTTTCTCATGCTCCCCCTGCCCCTTCCTTCTTCCAACAGTCTGATGTAGCTTTACGTGAGGAACAAGACACGGGGGGAGTTGTCAAGGCGTTCTTAGTAGGTGTTCTTGGATTTTTTTAAAAAAAAATATTTTATTGATTTTTTACAGAGAGGAAGGGAGAGGGATAGAGAGTTAGAAACATCGACAAGAGAGAAACATTGATCAGCTGCCTCCTGCACACCCCCTACTGGGGATGTGCCCGCAACCAAGGTACATGCCCTTGACCGGAATCGAACCTGGGACCCTTGAGTCCGCAGGCCGACGCTCTGTCCACTGAGCCAAACTGGTCAGGGCTGTTCTTGGATTTTGACAGGCAAAAATAAAAAAAGGTTTGCACGCAGACTGGATTTTCCAAAAGAGTAGAATTTTCACATGGGAGCTATGTCTCATCCCCCCCTCCCCCCCCTCAGAGTTTCAAGGAAAAGGTGACAGGAGTAACTATCATATCTTAATTACTGCCACTCATTTACAAAAGCCTTTAAAGGTTTGGCTAAAAGTCCACTCCCTCTTGCTGAAGGGAAGGCAGCCCTGCCCCAGTTCCGTGAGAGATGGAGGGAGAGAGTGATTCAGAGGTTGAAATTAATGGGGCAAGGTAGAGATATCATTGTTGTTAATAATAATTGCTACTAAGTGTTTCCATAGTTGTGTAAAGATCTTACCTACATATGGTACTTTACAGTTTGCAAAATATTCCCCCATTCTTGACCTTCACTGTGACGCTGTGAGGTGGGGAGGGATCATGATTCTAGTTTTAGAGGTTAGGCCTGAGGCTTAAAAAATGGACGTCATCTGTGAAAAGTCTAATAGCCGCTAAGTAACAGAGCCAAGACTTCATTTGTTCTACTGGGAGTTAGGTACTGTTACAGGTGCAGAGATAAATCAGAACAGTACAGACAAAAACACTCCCGCTCTGGTTGAATTTGGTTCTGGTTCCACCTTGAGAACTGATGGTTTTTTTGGGGCAGAATTTGCCAATACAATTTGCATACCTTGTTTTATTGCGCTTCGCTTCGTTGTGCTTCGCAGATACTGCTTTTTTACAAATTGAAGGTAAGACCCTTCACCAGCAAAAAGATTACGACCCGTTGCAGGCTCAGATGGTGGTTAGCATTTGTTAGCAATAAGGAATTTTTAAATTAAGGTATGCACATGGTTTTTGTAGACGTAATGCCATTGCACACTTAATAGACTACACTATAGTGTGAACATAACTTTTATAGGCACTGGGAAACCAAAAAATGTGTGTGACTCGCTTTATTGAGATACTCACTTTATTGTAGGGGTCTGGAACTGAACCCCCAGTATCTCCAAGCTAGGCCTGTACCATCTGGCTCCCAGTTTCCTCTCTGACCTCATTTTTTATTACTTTCTTGCTTGCTCAATTAACCCCGGCCATACTGGCCTCAAGGCCTTGGTACTTACTATTTGCTCTATCTGGAATACTCTTTCCTCATACCCACATGGCTTATTTCCACACCTCATTAAGGTCTTGACACAAATGTCACCTCCGTGTGGCAAGCCCTCCCCCAGTATCACCACTACCAGCAACATTCCCTAGTCGCCTTCCTTGCTTTTATCTCTTCTCAGCATTTAATACCATTTAACATACTTACTTGTCTTGTTTGTTGTCTCTTTCCCTCCACTGAATTAAGGGCTTTGAGGGTAGAGATGTTTATCTGTTGTGTTCACTGCTGTGTGCCTAGCACTAGTGGGTACTCTGTAAATAATTGTCCAATGAATGAACTTGGAAACTGAACTCTGGTACTTCTGTTAATATCTTGAGAAATTTTAAAGGTTATCAGTCAGATCTCTCTTTTTGTTTTATTTGATAATCTTGCAGAACAGTGACCCTCATCAGAGTTTGCATACGGTTTTGTAGATTTGGGGTTTCTCTAAAATTAATGTCTATTGTAACTTTAAATGTATTTATTTACTATTTAGTAAAATGATTTGATTTGTGATATCTCATGGAAATATCATATGATCCCTTATATCTTAAAGATGTTCCTGTGACCTATTGCTGTGTAACAAGTCACCCTAAACCAGGGGTGGGCAAACTTTTTGACTCGAGGGCCACAATGGGTTCTTAAACTGGACCGGAGGGCCGGAACAAAAGCATGGATGGAGTGTTTGTGTGAACTAATATAAATTCAAAGTAAACATCATTACATAAAAGGGTACGGTCTTTTTTTTTTTTTTAGTTTTATTCATTTCAAACGGGCCGGATTCGGCCCGCGGGCCGTAGTTTGCCCACAGCTGGGCTAAACCATAGTGGTGTAAACTACCTATTGCCACGCTCATGGACTCTGTGTCAGGAATTTGGACATGTCAGGAATGGTTTGTTTCTGCTGCACCATATCTGGGGCCTCTGCTAGAAAGACTCGTCAACTGGGATGACTCAGCACCTAGGGCCGGTGTTGTCTTCACTCACACGTCTGGCAGTTGATGCTGACTTTCAGCAGGGTCACCTACATGTGGCTGGGCCTCTGCACAGCATGGTGGCTGGGTTCCAAGAGTGAGCATCTCAGGAGACAGAAGGAGGAAGCTGCCAGTTTCTAAGGCTTGGGAATCACTTCTGCAGAATTTAGTAGTGGAGCGTCACTGAGCTTCCTCTGTGAGGAAGGACATGGACCCTCTCCTCTTGATGGAGAAGTATCAAAGAAGTTGGGGGCTTTGCTATAAAAATCACCACAGATATGATTTTCATAATATCTTGTTATCCCCGTGAAGGAGAGTAGTCAGCTAGCTACGTGTCTCTTTCTTGGTATCCCACCCCTCCTTTTTGTAAATCTTGTCTGTTGTGTTCACTGCCATATCCTGTGTCTAGAATAGTACCTGGCACATAGTAGGCATTCAGTTAATATCTGATGAATGAATGAATGAATGGATTGTAGTAGGAATTGTGTCTTACTCGATTACCTAGTTACCTAGTTACTTAGTACTGTGATTGGTAGGTAGTAGGTGTTCTTTACATTTCCCTGAATGAATGATTAAGGAAAACTCAGGAATTTGCTGGCTTCCTGAGAATTTGCTTCATCTATTCTGTTACCTTAGTATTGTAGGTAGCCATGTAGCAGTTAAGCTTCCACTGCAAAAGGATGTTTGTTTGTGTGGTGAAGTCTTTACCAGTGCACATGTCATTAATGACTCTTGTAACAGTTCCTCTTACTATACAACATGGAGTTGGAAGGAACTTCATAGCTATATGACCTGCTCCTTCCATTTTACAAATGTAGAAGCTGAAGCCAAAAATGGGGTAATTAGCCACCATCATACAGCCAACATGAAATCGGAGACTTTGACCTTGTTCTCAAGGAGTTTACATTTCAATGTAGTAAAAATGAAACAACTAGAAAATACCATAAAAATAATTTTTTGATAACTAGAGAGTAATCTCTAAGAAGGATTTCCTATCATGACATAAACTGCTTTAATCTTTGTGATGGGAATATATGGTTGTTTTTCTTAAACATCTTTATGGGACTGTCTCTAGTTAGTTAACCTCCCCCAAAGCAGGTCCTCTCCTTTTTTACCTGTAACTCTTGTGGAAAATTTTGGGAAGGAGCGAATCTAGAGCAAAGGAGATAACTTAGAGCTGTAGTCTCTAAACTTTTTTGATCATGCACTCCTATCAGTAAAACAATTTTGAACTTGCACCCCTAGAATAAAGCACTATTATATTGTGAAAAGTAGGATCCAAAATTTTCATTTTTGTAAAATATCACTAATTTTGAGCTGAATGGAGTGATGAATGGAGCCTGCACTGCAAGCTGGCTGGGAGCTCAGGGATCCAGCTGCACAGTACAGATCATCCAGGCACTGACTGCAATTTATCATCACTTGTTGGCAATGGATAACTCTAACCCCTATGCACTGATGGGAATGATTCTCTGTTATATGGTTGTCTGGGACTTAAACAGTTCAGCACCCCTCTATTTGATGTACATGGGGGCTTGGGACAGGGGTCAGTCACCAAATTCATATTGTCATGGAGCATGTTATTGTAAGATTTGACAATATATTTCTAAACTATATTCATTCATTAATAGGTCAACATATACACATGGTAAGGTTTTGAATTAGAGATAGTAAATATAAATTTGCTTCAAATCACCCTTTTTGGTAATTTTGAATATTTTTGGAGGGAAGCTGGCATTTTGTTTAGATTGTCTTTGTTTTTACTTTGTGTGACTAATGAAGATTACCTGCTCTGAAGAGAAGTGTCAGCTCTGCCGTACTCTTGTTTGTGTGTACTTATGCTGTTATTATCTTAATTCATGGCCTCTTTATAGTTTAACTCACTTGCTCATTTTGGGAGGGCAACTTAGTGCTCAAATCAGTAAAGCTTAAAGAGGCCAAATTTATAAAATTTTGCAGCTTTCTCTTAAAAATAAAGATCAAAGGCATTGTAATAGAATAGAAGCTTTAACATTTTTCCCATTATCTAATGGGTCAGTGCATATACAGCCTTGTGTACACTTGCCTCACTTCGGAGACCATTGACTGAAAGCAGGCTTTGAGTTTATATAATCATTTTTAGGTTTTACTCTGATCTGGATTTAGGGTCCCTCCCGTCCCCCGTCCCCCCACCCAAAAATGCTGACATGAACAGAAGGCACCTCCTGTTCTCTAGTCTTTATCACCCATTTTTGCCATTTAATCACATATTTCCTTCCATATGTCTCTGATTTACCTGCACTATTAGACTTAAATTCCTGGAGGATAAATACCCATGTCTTCATAGGGTGGGGGCCATGTACATCATAAGTACACAATAATTAATTGTTGAATAAGTAAATAAATGCTCTTAATTGCCCATGTTCTTTACATTGACATGTGTAATCCTCCCTAAGTTCCTACATGAAAAATGAAGCTGATGTCCTTAATGCCTTAAGACAATTATTAGAGAAAACAAATTTGTATCTTTAGAATGAGTCAATTTTCTGTGATGAAAAATCTGTATATAAACAAAGGGTTAATCTTCCTAACATACAAATGGAAAAAGATACACAATCTACTAGAAAAACAGTAGACTGTGAAAAGGCAGTCCACCAAAGAGAAATTATGAGAGCTAGTCAACATAACAAACAAAACAAACTACCAAAACTCCGATTAGCTATGAGGGGCACACAAATGAAAAACAAGGTGTCATATTTTAGCCATCAGATTGGCAAGAATGTACTGGATGTTAATTATAGGATTATTTGTAGAAGTGAAGACTGAAATCAACCTACAGAACTAACAATAGGGAAGTGGTTGAATAAATGATGCCAGATCTATACAATTGAATAATATTCAACTATTACTGACCAGCAGAGCTATACATGGTACATGGTTAAGTGAGAGAAGCAAGTTGATGAATGCAATCCCATTGTTTTTAAAAAATAAATATTAAGAAGAAAATGATAAAAGCATATATGTATATATACTGTATAATGTCAGATATGTTAGAGTATACAGTAGGTCCTCAGGTTATGTCGGAGATCCGTTCCTATGGTGTGACGTAAGGTGATTTTCTCTGTAAGTCGGAACCCACCTACATAAGCACCTACGTCACTCACATGGAGCACATACACAGCAGTAATGAAGTGAAACAGTAAAAAAAAATTTAAAAGAAAGATAACAATTTCTGACCTTTATTTGTGGTAAATAAATAATAAAAAACATGAAGCACATATATACATATGTCGAAATGACGGAACTTTTCTTTTTTTATAAATAATGGGAGATGGTGACGTAACCACGAAATGACATACGTAACCCGAGGACTGCCTGTATACACAATGACAAAGGATACCCCAAATTAAATAATAGTATATCTGGTAATGTAAGATTGGAATATTTGCAAATCACATATCTAACAGAGGACTTTTGTCTAGAATATATAATATAAAGAACTCTCAAAACTTTAAGAAAACAAATAGCTCAGTTAAAAAATGGCAATTTTCTTAACTTTTGTCTGAAAAAGTATATTTCATCCCTGTTTTTGCAGAATATTTTTGCTGGTGTTTCCAGGTTTACAGTATTTTCCTTCAGCTCTTCAAAACGATTGTGCTTTTTTTTGTCTTCTGGCTTGCACTTACTGATGAGAAGTCTGAATTCATTCTTATCTTTGTTTTTGAACATAATGTGTCTTTTTCCTTAGGTTTCTCTTAAGATTATGTCTTTATTTATTTAGTGATTTGATTATGATATACCTTGGTATGAGAATTTGAGGTTTATTCTGCTTGTTTTTTTTTTTTTTTTAGCTTCTAGGAGCTAGGGTTTGTAATTTTTCACTAAATTTGGCAGATTTTTTGCTATTGTTTAGTCAAATATTTAAAAATATCTCCCCCTCTTCTTGTGGGACTCAAGCTATACATGTTCAAGAACTTGATTCATTAGGGATCTCTTTAGTGTGTATCTGCCACAACTCCCAAAACAGAGGCATGGCGACCTTCCTATTTGTAATGTCAATAGCCATGACCTTCCACCTACTATAAGTATTAAGATCTATTTGTGTGCCTTTGCTTTGTCTTAAGACAAAACATACATATAATTTGGAATTTTCTAATATTAAGCATCTAATCCTCGTGAAGAGAATTAAGATGAAAATCTTCCCTTGTATTCAACTCTAAGACTCAAAACATTTTAAATTTAATAACATAGATATTGGTGATAGTAGCAAATTCTTCATTATGTAATTGAATGTGACATTAATTCTCTTCCTGTGCTTTGTCAAATTACTCCTACTCTCCAGTGCAGGAATCACAGCCATGGCCCCCACCCTTCAGGATTTGGTCGACATGGAGTCTGTGCACATGAAAACAAAGAACTTGCCAAGGCAAGAGAAGCTCTTCCTCTTATAGAGGACTCTAGTAACTGTGACATTGTAAAAGCTACTCAGTAAGTCTTCCCAGTTCTTTGTTTTACCTTTATGTTCTGTTCAAGTGTGAAAATGTATGTGCAGTTCATGGCATCCAGTGTATACCCAGCTCACTTCCTACTCCATTGCTAGTATGTTTGTTATAGCAGCATCAGACCACTTAACGCAGTGCACCTTAGCTGTTTATTACCAGTCTGTCCCATTAGATTGTGAGCAGCTTCTTAGCAAAAGCATGTTTTTTTTTCATCTTTGTAGCCCCATGCTTTTGCACAGTTCCTGCCTTGTATTAGGCGCCCAGTAAATGCTTTTATTGTCTTCTGGCTTGAATGAATGAATCATTTTAAGTGACACTAAAACTATATCAGTGATGGCGAACCTATGACACGCGTGTCAGAGGTGACACGCGAACTCATTTTTTTGGTTAGATTTTCCTTTGTTAAATGGCATTTAAATATATAAAATAAATATCAAAAATATAAATCTTTGTTTTACTGTGGTTGCAAATATCAAAAAATTTCTATATGTGACACGGCACCAAAGTTAAGTTAGGGTTTTTCAAAATGCTGACACGCCGAGCTCAAAAGGTTCGCCATCACTAAACTAGACTCTGAGTTTGAAACACAAATCTGAGTCTTTTAAAATGTACTACAACCAAAATATATAGGTGGGATGGAAAAATACCAGCTCACACCTTTATGGATATTTTAAACATTTATTTATTGAGTACTTTCTGTGTACCTATTGTGTGCTAGAAGAAAGTCAGTAAAGTAGAATTAGGCTTCCTGACCACTTGAAACATATAGTGGGTTGTTTTGCTTGCACCAAAAATGAAATTATGTTTTGAAAGGAGATCCTTAAGATCTCTAGATGTGGGTGTTAAATCATTTCCAACATTTTTATCCTCGTGAATCTCATTGATTATTAACATCCACCCATCTCTTGCCATTGAATATATTTTGAAATATTTTGTCCATCAAGCTACATTGATTTTTAATACATTTTCTTAATAATCAAATATAAATCTGACTATCAGAGCTTCTAATCAGCATGAAAAGAACTAATGTTGCCACACTAACTTGATATAATTGTTGTCAAAAGCAAGGATGTTTGGTGATTAATTAGCCTGTTTGGCCTTAATGTAGACTAATATATAATTTATGTTAGTTAAAAAATAATTGACAGTTATTTGGATATTCTAAATATTAATTTATATGAATTCTCAAGGCCCTGGGAACCACTACTTTACATGAATGTTATTTGATATTGTTTATATTATTATATTTATATGAAGATGAGAATGTTTTTAAGATAAATATTAGCTTTAATTAGAATGGAAACATTTAAATGTTTCTCTGCTACTGGTAAATTTCTATAAGATAAATGTGAAAAATTAGGCTATGCACACAGGAAGTTAAAAACTCACATTTTAACCCTGCCAATGTGGCTCAGTGGTTGAGCATCGACCTACTATCCAGGAAGTCACCGTTTGATTGCTGGTCAGGGCACATGCCTGGGTTGCGGGCTCGACCTCAGTCAATGATTTTCTCATATCATTGATGTTTCTATCTTGCTCTTACTCTCTGAAATAAAAAAATATACATTTAAAAAATCTCACATTTTATATCATTCCTAAACTTTCCTTTGAGGTCTTAGACCTTCTTAAGTCAAAAAACAAAAGCCAGCGTGTGTGTGTGTGTGTGTGTGCGTGTGTGTTTGTGTTTTCTAAACCACGAAAATCCTCATTAGTGTGTACTTATATTTCTCATGTAAAGGGACTATTTTTTTCACGAGTAAAATGTTAAAGTTGACATTTAAAAGATGAAAAATGTATGTATCATCAACAATTTACTTTTATTAATATAATTTCATTTAGCATTGTAAGATAGTTATCTCTATCTTAAAAATGCCATAAAGACAGATAGATAGGGACACACACACATTTTGGTGAGGTAGAAATGATTTAATTTTACATCATGCTAAATGTGGTCAGTTGGGACTTAATATTTTTTGTTAAAAGAAATATTGCTAATGAATTATTTTAAAAGTTATTATGGTCTTAAAATATATACTTCTCTCCTGTTTCTCATTCTTATAGTCAATCAATTAAATAACTCTCTTAAATATTCCTCAAGTCCATCCCTCACTTTAGGCTCTCATTGCCTCTCACCTGTATTTATTGCAAGAGCCTCTAAACTGGTCTTTCAGTCTCTGCTTCACCCTCTGCAAATTAGTTTCCATACTGCCACTAATGCGATCTTCCTTAAAACTCAAAAGACTTAGAGCATTCCTCTTTAAAACTTGCAGTAGTTTCCCTTTGAACAATAGATGAATTATGAACTTCAAAGCATGGCATAGAAGGCCCAGGCAGTCTTTGCCTCTCTATTCTATCCTCATATTTTACCATTCTCTTCCATATGCTTTATCCTTCCTCAGTGTTAAATTGCTTATATTTCTCTGAACATCTGTGCAGTTTCACATCTCTGATTGTTGTACATGCTGTTCCCTCTGCCTGAAATGCCCTCCCTTCAGCCTACAAAACATAGTTCATAAACCATGGTTCATCCCCTTCAGAATGTCTAATTTCTTCCTTTGCCATACATACCTTATGCTATGTTTACATTTTATTGTTGAATTTATCCCATCCCAAGTTTTAGTCTCTCTCCTTAATTGGGAGGTCATTGCATGGGCTTGGTTTGATTCAAGAATGAGATTATAGTCAGGAATCAGCACCATACATTCCTGGCATATAGTGGAGAATCTAATGAAATTTATTGAAGGAGGGCAAATGTGAATGTTAAAGTTTATTTAAGAAAATCAAGTTCATCTCCAAATGGATGTTGTTTGGCTTTACAATATGGCCTCTTGATATGTATCTTTGTTAATGTATTTCTGTGTTGACTGAAAGATCAGATAAAACCTGGTAAAAGAAAGAAATTTTGATATTTGAAATTATTTTAATGGTATCAATTATGTCCTTTTTTTTCTTATTTGAGATACGGGATTTTTGAACGATGTAAAGAATTGGTAGAAGCAGGATATGATGTCAGGCAACCAGACAAAGAAAATGTGTCGCTTCTTCATTGGGCTGCTATTAACAACAGACTGGATCTTGTAAAGTAAGATGGGATATATGTGTATTAATTGTGTATTTATAATTCTAGACCTCTCCTTCATTTGTGTTTTCTTCAAGTGCAACTTTTAATGTTGAAGCATCCATAGTCCTTTATTGTAAATGAAAACCTGAAACTGTGCCACACACATCAGTTATCCGAGCGTTGAAAAGGACGGTGGAGATCATCCAGTCCAGGGTTGTCATTGGCTTAAAAGGAAAACTGAAGACAAAGCCACAGGGCCCATTATAAAGATAAAGTTCAGGCAATGTAATTGAACATTGTTTTTAAAAGAAAAAGTGTAAGATAAACTTTCTCCGGATAGAACAGAAAGTTTCAGGTAGTGTAGAAGAAACATTGAAATATTTTTACATTGCTTAATAATGCCAGGGGGAATGGATGAATAGGGGAATAATTTAACCTTTTTAAAAAGCTAAATGTGCAATACATTTTTAAGTAGGCATGTATTGGATTGTAGAAAATACTTTCTCTTCGTAAAGCAATACTGCCTAACCATTATTTTTTATTTTATACCTTAGCATGTAAAATATATGTATGTATGTGAATTACATGTAATTTGTATTATATATATTAAATTTTGGAGGTTTAAATAAAACTATACTAAAGTTTAAAATAAATACACATACAGATAAACCCCTCTTCTGTGACAATAAACTGATGCGTTGTTTGATAATGATATGCGAAGCACAACTTGGAGATAATGAGACTAATTCCTGTAAACCACAGAAGAAAACGTCTCTTTGCCTTACAGATTCACTTATTCAGTGTATCATATCTGTGTCTCCAAATAGAAAGCAAAACATTCAAAATGTCTAACTTTTCTAAAAGAATTTTGAATTATTTTTTACTATTTTTAAAGTTCATTCCCAGATAGTTAATTCTAATCTTAAGCTGTTTAAAGTGATATTATTTCACTTTTTCTTTCAATTTAAGTAGCATATCTGTGTGATCCTGAACCTTTTACATATAAACCTTTAAGAGTGTTGTGGTAATTAGAATATGCAGAATAGTTATCACATGCTCAGTATGTAAGTTATAATTGAATGCTAATGACACCAGGAGCAATTACTTATATGCTATGAATATTTCACTAGGGTTCTGTTTGATGCTGTTGTGTGAATCTTTCAGACTTCTGTTGATCTGTGAGATTTTAGGGAGGGTTCTTATTATAATTTCTGTTTTCCAGTACATTTATTACTAAGAATAAAGTTTTCTTTCTCAGTATGAATTTTAAGTTTTAAATCTGTTTATCTATGTCTGTTTTTAACAGGTTTTATATTTCAAAAGGTGCTGTGGTAGATCAGTTGGGTGGAGATTTAAATTCAACTCCTCTTCACTGGGCCATCAGGTAAAGGTTTTTTTGTACACTGACATTGCTATTCAAAGTCAAGTGACTTAAGTTTATTTTCTGAACATTAATGATCAGCATTTTCCACTAGAATTTTCTGGGATTCTCTTCTGTGCTATCCAGTATGGTAGCCACTAGCCATATGTGAAATATGAAATAGGGCTAATGTAACTAAGGAATTGAATTTTAAATTGAATTTAAAATTTATTTTATTTAATTTTAACTAATATGAAATCAAATAGCCTCATGTAGCTATTAGCCATCATATTGGAAACTGCAGTTAGAGACCATTTGAAGGGCTTTCTTTCCTCCCCCCCTTAATTAAACAAACAAACAAACAAACAAACAAACAAATGTAGCTTTAAGGAGTTTCCAAAGACAGATGTTTTTTGTGTTTAACTTGGGCCTCCAATGTGAAGCTCAAACTCAAATGTGTGTCTTATACTTTCTTTTATGTAATCAAAATACATATATTTTGTACTTGATCACATGGTTAAAAATGATAGTTTAGTGAACTATAAATCAATTTTTTTCTCTGGTAAATATTAGCCATCTGAAGCTGAAGTTAATAGGCCTGTCTAAATACCTAACAATTTCTTAATTTTTCATCTTAACTCCATTCTGTATGGTTGATGGGGTTGACATGAACCTGAAACTAAAGTGAATAATTGTTCATTTAAGGCAAGGAATTGGATCTTTTCTCCATAGCCAATAAATTTGAAGAATCTAGGGTGAACTCATCCGCATGTAAGCTTCATATGGAAAATGATCCATAGTCAGGTGTAAAAATATCTAGTTCCTAAGAATAATATTACAGTATACCAGCAGTCTGAATGTTATATTGCAGGGTATCTGGCTCATGATTATTTTAAAGTAGCAACAGTGAAGTCTAACTGGTTTTAAAGTTTACATTTTTAGCATTAGTCATGTAACATTATTATTTATACATGTTAGCAACATAAGGTTTAAGGTAGATTGGGAGGTTATTAAGGTTATTACCTGCCCTCAAGAAGGACTGTCCAGATAGTTCTAAGTGTGGAACACCTAAGTAAAGGATATTTAGAGAATCTCCAGAGTTTTAAAAACCTTATTGTTAGGAAATACTTTTTATATCTAACTAAAATCCCTCATGTCTCAGGGATATCAATTTCTCCCTGAATTTTTTATTTTTATTTTTATTTTTTGCTACAGAATACAGTATACTTTTTGTTCTTTATTTACAGACAAGGACATTTACCCATGGTCATATTATTACTGCAGTATGGTGCAGACCCCACCCTCATCGATGGAGAAGGATTCAGCAGCATCCACTTGGCAGTATTATTTCAACACATGCCCATTATAGCGTATCTCATCTCAAAGGGACAGGTATATCTTGAAACATATCTTACACTATAGCTATTACAAATTTGAAGAGATTGAGAAGATGATTAGTAGTCTGTTCTCATTTTTAAAGTATAAGTAGAAAATATCCAGATATTCAAATATTAGCCTCAGTAGGTTTAGCTATTGAATATTCCTTTCTAGCTTCATTGGAGCAAAAAGGACAGGTCATTTAGCTCAGTAACATATAATAGATGTTTTTAAGCTTGTACGCCAGTAATAGTTTTCCTTATGATTCTTGCAGAGATTTTAAAAAACATGACTTCAAAGCCTATATTTTTCTTCTGGCTGAATGTAGAGATGGTAATCAGATCACTGAATTAACCCATCATTGCTTTCATTGTTTGAGTCTAAATGGGAGACCAATTTGAATGTATGCTTCTTATTGTTCTCTAAAGTAATTCCATGAAAAATGATTTGCCTTAAGAGGCATCCATTTATGGCACAGGTTAAATTATAGGTTATTGGCAGTGGGAGTGTCACTGTCAGCTATATTTGTCTGGGATATGCTTTCTCTTAGCAAAGTAGTTTATGTATTAGCAGACTCGCCTATAACAGGCGTGGACACGTGTTTGCACAAATGCTGTGGAATGACTGTGTTCTCTGTAAATAAGCACTTTCTCTCAGACTTAGCCAGTTGAAGTAGAATAATTATAACCTCCTTGGGCTCACTTTGGAAATATGTTTGAGGAAGAATGCTTCCTGCTTCTCTTTGGGTTTCTTCCCATGTTGTACTCCTCCAAGGCCCATAAGGATCTTCAATAATTGAAACTCTTTCTTTGGCTTGGTTGGAACCATTATTGTATACCTCGAACCTGGGCCCATTTTATTAAAAGGAGGTACAATTTCTTTTTTCTTTTTTTCATATTCTAGAAAAATAGAAAAGAATTTTTCATGTGTTACCTTTTAAAACATAATATGATAAATAAAAGAAAATACAATGAGTTGCCTCAGAAGATAGTTGTTCACTATTACTGTTATGTGTTTAAGTAGATACTGAATGACTTGATAAAGTCATTTGAATAAATTTGATAAATTTGAACAATAGATGAATTATGAACTTCAAAGCATGGCATAGAAGGCCCAGGCAGTCTTTGCCTCTCTATTCTATCCTCATATTTTACCATTCTCTTCCATATGCTTTATCCTTCCTCAGTGTTAAATTGCTTATATTTCTCTGAACATCTGTGCAGTTTCACATCTCTGATTGTTGTACATGCTGTTCCCTCTGCCTGAAATGCCCTCCCTTCAGCCTACAAAACATTTGATAAATTCATCTATTGTTCAAAATGACTTAATAAAAGATGATAGTACCAGTGAATGTACTATCATTTAAGGTCTAAAACTAGATGATTTCTAGGGTCTTTGCTTCTAAAGTCTCTTATATTTGATGGTGATTATTATTTCTCTCTTTCCCTTAGCTCTCTTCCATTCATATTATATAACACTTTGAATCATATATTCAGATATACCTTTTAAAAAAATTTTCTATAAATCAATGAACTTTTATCCTATGGCTGTGAAGCAGAACATTCTTTTATTAAATAATACTTGAACCCTCCTTATAGACACAATGGTAGTGCTAATGCATTGAAGAGATACCTCTATTAAGAAAAAAAAGAGAATTTTGACTGTGTCTACAGTTAAGCTGATTGACCCTTCTTTTTGAACAGAGTGTGAATATGACAGATTTAAATGGGCAAACACCTCTCATGCTATCAGCTCACAAAGTACTTGGGTGAGTTTAATTGAATTGCCTCATTCTGATTCTTGCTTCTGACCATTTCTTTTTTTGTGTATATAATTTTAAGTATCTTAATCTATATGAAATGATAGTATATTCTGAAGAATAAAATAAGATTTTCCACCCTGTGATTGTGATATGGACTTTTTATGTTTAGAAAAAGCACTATTGAAATAATTTTCTCTTTTCTGATAGCTTAGGGGAAGAGTTTGAAAGCTACTATAAGAAAACTAGAGGCCTGGTGCACGAAATTCATGCACGGGTAGGGTCCCTAGGCCTGGCCGGCGATCAGGGCCAATCAGGGCCTTCCTTCCCTTGGCTGCCGGCTGCTGGCTTGGGCCTTCCTTTGTTCTGTGCCACGCCCTGGTGGTCAGTGCATGTCATACCAAGTGTTTGAAGTCCCGGTTGGTCGAACTCGTGAGGGGACAATTTGCATATTAGCCTTTTATTATATAGGATAATTTCTTTATAGAACAGATAGAGATTCCATAGCATATATTTATTATTTTTTAAATAAATCTTTATTGTTGAAAGTATTACATATGTCCCTTTTATTTTTTTTTATTGCCCTCTTCAGCCCTTCTCCCCCACAAGCCTTCACCACCCACTGTCTGTGTCTATGGGTTTTGCATATATGCATATGAGTTCATTGGTTGATTTCTTCCCCACCTCCGCCCTCCCCTGATAGCATATAGTTATTAACATGACTTACGTTTCTTATTTTGCATTTTTTAAAAATGGCAATGGGGGGAAAATTCAGGACATCTGTAATACTGTCAACAATAAAAATATATATATGCATAAAAAAGACAAGTTTAAATGTTCTCATAATTTGAAATCTAGATGATAAATCTGCTTTGCAGAACACAATGAATGTTGAAGATCTCCAACATTGATGACTGCTCAGAAAATATTAATTGTAACTGACCTATGGAAATAGTGTATATGTTCACATTAAGTACTTGCATATTTAAGTTTTTCTGTGTATTTCTTTTATAAACACATGATTAATGACCAGCATATAGTCCATCTTCTGTGTTTCTTCTCTTAAATATATGCTTTAGTTTTCACTTTGTCAGTTTATTTCCAAGGTTATGCTCAATTTCTGATTTTGATTTTACTTTAGACTTTTCTCCTAGGAACTGAGTTAGTTCTGATGTCATTTCCTTTTCATTCATAGAGTGGTGGGGTAGGGGTAGAATTTTATTAGAAAGCTTTTTGTCATCTTTGCCGATAACTCTGAAGTCAGATACAGTGTTTAAAGATCTCGGTAGAATAAGTTAAGTAGAATATTATTTTATTAAAAAAATCTCAAGTAGTCATGAAGGGCAGGGAGGTATTGATGATAAAACAATATTTATTGAATTCTGCCTTCTAGTCCATAACTTTCTAAGATAAACACATATTTTAGAATATTATTTATACCCAACTTTATTTAATAATAGGTTAGAAGGAAAATGTGAAGTTAGCTTTTGGTTTATCTCCTCAAATATAGTATTGTACATTTAATTTTTAATTAGATGAATAACATAGAATTTTATATTGGCCAAAGTTGAGAGTATAATTTAAAAGAAAATGTTAATCAATAAAATAACAACATGAAAGTAAAAGTTTGAAAAACAAAAGTAGTTATTTCACTGTATTGATGTGAAAATTATATTTTCTATATAGTCACACAACAGATATCTTTTTGAGGGGCATGTGCATCTCTTCTATTAGCAACTACAATAGAACTCTGCACAAAGAAGGTCCTTAGTTTTCAGAATTTTTATTTGTTAATTGATATATTAGCTTAAAAGATTGGTTATTTACATTTTCCCCTCAAATCATTCATCTCTCTAATACCCCTTGGTATTTTATTGTTTTGAAACAGGCCAGAACCAACTGGATTTCTTTTAAAGTTTAATCCTTCTCTCAATGTGGTTGATAAAATACACCAAAACACCCCACTTCACTGGGCAGTGGCAGCAGGAAATGTTACTGCAGTTGATAAACTTTTGGAAGCCGGTTCTAGCTTGGATATCCGAAATGTTAAGGTATGACCAGGTATTTATCTCCCTTAGTTTATTATATCTTCAGTTAGAAGATTGATAAATTAATATAAAGATAAGCTATACATATGACTTCAGTTATTACAGGATAGATGTAAATAATAATAGCTGGCTACTCTCAGAACAAATATGTTAAGTCTATGAATCTGATGAGGTTTTAAAAAATGCTCTACATTACTAATCATCAGAGACATGCAAATTAAAACCACAATGAGATATCACCTCACACCTGCCAGAATGGCTATCATCAATAAATCAACAAACAACAAGTGTTGGCAAGGATGTGGAGAAAAGGGAACCCTCTTGCATTGGTGTTGGGAATGCAGACTGGTACAGCCATTGTGGAAAACAGTAGGGAGTTTCCTCAAATAATTAAAAATGGAACTGTTTTTTGACCCAGTGATTTCACTTTTGGGGATATATTTTAAGATCCCACTTCTGAGAATATATCCTAAGAATGTGAAACACTAATTCAAAAGAATAAATGTACCCCTATGTTCATTGCAGTGTTATTTACAATAGCCAAGATCTGGAAACAGCCCAAGTGCCCATCAGTAGATGAATAGGTAAAAAAGCTGTGGTATATTTATACAATGGAATACTATGCAGCCATGGGAAAGAAGGAACTCTTACCTTTTGCAACAGCATGGATGGATCTAAAGATTATTAGGCTAAGTGAAACAAGCCAGTCAGAGAAAGACAAATAGCATATGATCTCACTTATATGTGGAATCTAATGAACAAAATAAACTGACGAACAAAATAGAAACAGAGGCATGGCCCTAGCCAGTTTGGCTCAGTGGATAGAGCGTCAGCCTGCAGACTGAAGGGTCCAAGATTTGGTTCTGGTCAAGGGCACATGCCTGGATTGTGGGCCTGATTCCCAGTGGGGAGCATGCAGGAGGCAGCCAACCAATGATTCTCTCTCATTGTTGATGTTTCTCTCTCTCTCCCTCTTCCTTCTTCTCTGAAATCAATAAAAATGTATATATATAAAAAAAGAAACAGAGGCATGGATATACATGGGACAGACTGATAGCTGTTAGGGGGAAGTAGGGTGGGGGAACTGGATAAAAGAAGGTGAAGGAATTAGCCAAAAAGTATGTGTATATAACACAGAGACACAGGCAACAGGGTGGTGATAGTCAGAGGGAAAGTGGGGTGGAGACCAGGTGGAGATGGGCAAGGAGGTGGGGAATGGGGATGGAAAGAGACTTTGCTTGGGGCACACGATGCAGTGTGCTGATGATGTTTTATTGAGTTGTACATTTGAAACCTGTATGGTTTTGTGAACTATTGTCACCCCAATAAATTCAGTTAAAAAAAAATGGAATCATACAGTAAAAAAAAAAGTCTTGTACCCATGCTATATAAAAAATGTGATTGAGCCCTAGCCGGTTTGGCTCAGTGGATAGAGCGTCGGCCTGGGGACTGAAGAGTCCCAGGTTCGATTCCGGTCAAGGGCATGTACCTTGGTTGCAGGCACATCCCCAGTAGGGGGTGTGCAGGAGGCAGCTGATCGATGCTTCTCTCTCATCGATGTTTCTAACTCTCTATCCCTCTCCCTTCCTCTCTGTAAAAAGTCAATAAAATATTAAAAAAAAAATGTGATTGAACTTTTTCTTTCTTTTTTTAGGGAGAAACACCTCTTGAGATGGCTCTACAAAGTAAAAATCGGCTCATTATTCACATGCTAAAAACAGAAGCCAAAATGAGAGCTAACAAAAAATTCAGACTTTGGAGGTGGCTACAGAAATGCGAGGTAACTATACTTTCAGAATGATTCTAAATTAACTAACACCAGATTTCTATGGAGAGGGTCATCATGAATACTACACCTATTATGCATTTAGGTATTTGAGGGAGAGAGAAATAAATAATGGTTACTCCTCAGTCTCCTTTGCCAACTCCTTTGCTTTTCCCACACCTCATACAGTAGGGTGCCCTAGGACTTTGTCCTTGGACTTCTTTTATTTGTATTCATTCATTCCCTTAGTGATTTCATGCATTTACATGGCTTTAAATGCCATCTATATACAGTATTGCTAACTCCCAACGTTTTCACTAGTTCAGACCTTTCCAGACTCGTATCTCCCAGTTACCTGTATAACTTACCCAGTTCAGTGTCTGATAGGCATCTCCAATACATCATCCAAAACTGAAATCCTCATCTTCTCCCTACCCATCCCTAACTATTCCATTCATAGCCTTCCACATCTCTATACATGGCAACCCCAGCTCTCCAATCACCTGTGTCTTTTCTCAGTCATAACATGTATCTAGGCCATTAGAAAGAGGTATAGGCTACTCTGCCCTCAGTTTATATTCATTAATGCCTACTCACCATTCCACCAATGGCATTTTGGTCCAGCCACCATTATCTTTCATATAAATTATTGCAGTTGTCTGACTCACCTCTAGTCTGTTCTCAACAGAGCAGCCAGATGAATCTTTTAAAATGTATGTCAAATCCTATCATTTATCTGCTCAGAATCCTAGGTTTCTTCCTTTCTCTCAGAATAAAAGCCAAAGTCCTTACAAGGCTCCAAAGTCCTTACAAGGGCTGGAGCTTTTTATGTATTATAAAATTCTCTTAGTACATTTGTCTGTCTTCCCCTGCTAGAATTTAAGCTTCACGAGAGAAAGACCTTAAATTCATTGATGTATCCGAGGTGCTTAGAATAGTGCCTACATACACAGGGTGGGGCAAAAGTAGATTTACAGTTGTGAATACACAAAGCACAGAGTTTATTTTTGTATTATTTATTAACTAGAGGCCGGGTGCACAAAAATTTGTGCACTGGGGGGGGGGGCCCTCAGCCCGGCCTGTGCCCTCTCACAGTCTGGGACCCCTCGGGGGATGTCCACCTGCTGGCTTAGGCCTGCTCCCCGGGGGATCAGGCCAAAGCTGGCAGTCAGACATCCCTCTGGCAGCCTGGGGGCCCTCGGGGGGATGTCCACTTGCCAGCGGGGAGCAGGCCTAAGCTGCAGTCGGACATCCTTAGCGCTGCTGAGGAGGTGGGAGAGGCTCCCGCCACCACCGCTGTGCTGGCAGCCATCAGCCTGGCTTGCGGCTGAGCAGAGCTCCCCCTGTGGGAGCGCACTGACCACCAGGGGGCAGCTCCTGCATTGAGTGTCTGCCCCCTGGTGGTCAGTGTGTGTCATAGTGACCAGTCATTCCCAGTGGTTCTGCTGTTAGGGTCAATTTGCATATTACCCTTTTATTAAATAGGAATATTGTATTTTCCATACGAACAACTGTAAACCTACTTTTGCCCCACCCTGTATATGCTCTGGAATAATTGTTGAATAAATGAATAGTGTGGCTCATTTATGAGTGTTACATCTGGAGTTAAAATTTTGAGTTCCATATTTAATTCTTATTTCTGTTCTGAAGTTAAATTGCTTGTAGATTTTAAGTTTACCTTTTTTGTTTAAAAATTAAATTTGCTCATTTGGTGTTATGCAATCTAATTTGAAAAAATTTTAAAGATTTGATATCATTTGAAATTATCCATCCTTAGAATATGGCTCAGAGAAGTAAAAATTGAAGAAGATAGGGCAGAATGTATTTTCTCTATTTGCTTCCAAGGTCATGCATTGTAAAAATGTGGTGCCAGCTTCAGTGCAGGTAGTCACACTGTTGGTTCATAGGCTTTTATTCTTCTGACTTTGCGAGGATATGTTTCAGTCTCTGGCCTCTGTGCGACATTGACACCAAGAATGACTCCAGTCTTGAAACTCCTCCCTGGCTTCTGGGGAACCTTTCTTTCTCCTGGTTCTCATCCTGCATTTCTGATCACACTGGTCACTCTTTCTTAGTTACCTCCGATGACTTGGCTTTTTCTCCTTAATCGTTTGTGTTGGCCAAGATTCTGCCCCTTTGTACCTGCACACAGTCCTTGGGATGTTGTTCATTCATGGCTTTACCACCTATATGCTGATGAGTCCAGGTTTCCTCCTGAGTGGTAGACCTGCTTTTCTGACTGCCTCCTGAATATCCACTAGGTGTCCACATTCATCTAAAATTCTACACGTGCTAAGCTAAACTCATCTTTTCTGAAAACTTGTTCCTTCTCACCCTCTTTATTAGGGAATGGCACCATCTGGTGCCCAGATTGGAACTCTTATATTCTCCTCATTAAATCTTGGGTGTATTGATTTTTGTGTGGCCTTTTTGTCTTGGTTTATGCTTTCTGGCATATAATATTGTTTGAAAGAAATTATTGCTTTTCTAAATGTCAGCTATCATGAACACTTTTCTAAATGACCACCATTTCTTGACGGAGAGGAAAGCAAAACAAAGTATGTGTAAGTAACATTTTATAAAATGTAAGGCTTTTGAAAGATTGTTTCCAAGATTTGTAATTTCTCAAACATCAGATTTATCAATCAGCAATTTTGAAGGAAAACTCTGTGTTCTGCTATTGTATTACTTGTTATTATATGTTTAAGAAGTAGTTCTTCTGATGAACTAATTATTATTAGATACTTAGGAGGTAAAATCCATAAAGTTCTAAAACTCTGAATCTCTTAATAGCTCTTCCTGCTGCTGATGCTTTCTGTGATTACCATGTGGGCTGTTGGATACATACTGGACTTCAATTCAGATTCTTGGCTTTTAAAAGGATGTCTTCTAATAACATTGCTTTTTCTGACATCTTTGTTTCCAAGGTGTGTATATTAGTCTTTGCAAGGCTGATTATTGCATTCCAATTTGATTGCTTATTTCTATTATTGATTAGCTGAAATTACAGGTTTTTATTGAGCTCTGTTACTTATCACATAGAAACATCCTCAGGGTTGCTGGGAAGGAAGGGCTTTGGTAGCATGTGTTTGGCCTGAAAGCTAATTGGTCAACACAATAATTTAATTGAATTGACAACTAGTTGAAAATAAATATCCTGGCTCACTTTTTGAAATGGTAATTTTGGTGAGTAATGGGGAGATTTTTTTAATAATTTGCATCTTGAAGCATTTTTGCCTATTTTTCAGAAATTTTGCTTTTTCCTTTTCTAAATCTAAATTCATTTTGAACTAATTATTTTTGTTCTTAATGTTATTTGGTGGAAACAACCTAGTTAAATTACAAGAGGTTATAAAATAGTAACTATGGTGTGGTTCTATTTTTAGGAAAATATTTATACACTAGAGGCCCAATGCACGAAATTCGTGCAAGGGCCTTGGCCCCCTGCTGCCGCAGTGGCCGCCTCTGCCTCGGCCCCCGCCCACTGCGGCTTTGCCCACTGCGGCTTTGTCTGGAAGGAAGGATGTCTGGAAGGATATCTGGTCTAATTAGCATATTATGCATTTATTGTTATAGATGGTTTCATATAGTCATTGGTTAAGAGTCAGATTGCCTAGATTCATATAGCAGGCCAACCTTGAACAAGTTGCTTTACCTTTCTGTGCCTCAATTTTTCCGTGTATAAAATGAGGATAATAATTTTGACAATGCCTGTCTCATGGTCAACACACATTCAATGGTTAGGACCATGGCTGACACACAATGCTGAATAATTTTGTCACACCCTCATCTCTTTTTCCCTTTCCAGTTTCCCTCGTTGAATAATGGCTATCATCCTTGGATTAATGCCATTCTCAATTCTTCCCTTCTCTTCACTTCCCACATCCAGCTCATTACCAAGTCCTTCTTGCTCAGCCTACATCGGGTCTGCTCTCTGCATCTCCACAACTGGCACCCTCGATCAAACCTAACTGGCCTCCTGACTCCAGCTCTTATTCCCACCCTCCCCACCTCCCCCCAGCTCATCCCCACTTAGCAATCAGTATAGTCTTTTAAAAAGGCAGATTAGGTTCTGTCTTTTTTCCCTACTTAAAGCCCTCCATGGGCTTTCCTTGTACTCAGAATAAAATCAAAACTCCTTGCCTAGGAGGTATTATGTGATTCATTTCCTCCCCTCTGACTTCATCTCCTTCCTTCATTGTCTCTACCCTTCTTTCTGGTTTTAGAACACATCAAACTCCTCTCACCCTGGGCCTTGGCTTTCACTTGGTCTCTGTCTGACATGTTCTGATTGCATAGCTGGAGATGTCTCATTCAGGCCCAAGTTCCAATACCACCTCCTTAGTGAGGCCTTCCCTGATACCCCATTTGTTTTCTTCATAGCACTTAACCACTGTTTCCTGGAATGCAAGGCCCATACAAGTAGGAAACCTCTCCTGAGTGAAAGAAAACTGTAATGATGATCCATAGGAAAAGACCTAAAAGTAAATAGTGTTGCTCTCTTCAGGGTGTGATTATGAGATTCCTCTGCCCTTCTTATGCCTGCCAGCATTTTCTGGAATAAGCATATGCTACTTTTGTCATAAGAAAAAAGAGAGTATTAGAGGAATCTTACCATTTAAGATTCTCTGTCACTCAAGAGCAGGATAGTTGGCTGGAAATGAATTAGAATTTAAACATAAAGTAAAAGCTCAAATTTCTGGAAAATAGTGAAGTTTCTAAATTGTCTGCTATTCAGAAAACTTATAACTTAGAAATAGTCATTCATTTTTCACTAAGTGGATTGACTCAGTCTCCAAACAAAATTTAAGCTAAATCACCAGGTATCATAATCATCACTTTTTTGTTTTTCCAGAGAGAAAGCAAGGGTAGTATTTACTGATCTTGGGTGGGGGTATTTGAGATTTTGTTTATTTTAATAAAAACCCAAATTATAAAAAAGTATATGAAGACTTTTGTTTTTGATAACAGTGAGTTGAGGGCTTCATACGTCAGGCTTGACATATTAACACAATTCAAATGGGAGACAAATGCATATGGCCACTTTATCCATACTGCTTTTATTTCTCTCACACTCCTCTGTAGAGCCCAATTTTGTGGAGGTAAGCAGCTGCAAACTTCTACTATTATTAGGCTCCAGGGGCAGTTGCTTATTGATCCAGGCTGCTATGTGATGCCTGTCAGAAGTAAACAGTCTTTTACAAATGAGATAGTTCACTGTACTACTTAATTAGTTCAAACACATTTTTGCTGCAAAATCTCAGTCAGGTCATGCCCTGGAGGTTACATGGGCTCCATATGGCCTATTCTGGCAGCATATTAGGTTTGGGATTTTAGTTCTCAAATATTTTATCATAATATCCTAATGATCTTGATAGCTTTTAAAAAACCCTTTTCATGCCTGTCATCAACTGTTGTCTTTTCCTGCTATAAATTTAAAAACAGGTCCAGGTAAACGATATTCATGCCTAGATTTACTATATTGAGTATTTAATGTGAAAGACAGATTTTTTTATTTTTTTATTTTGAAACTACAATATTAACATTTGAGTAAGTTTTGTGTGGACTTCCAAGCTTCTTGTTATATCTAAGTGAGATGGTTGGTGTTCTGATGACTAGTGCCACTTTTAACCTTTATGTATCTTTTTATGTCCAGTGGCTGCTTCTCAAGCTGTTGTGGGATGAAAGGAATGTATGTTTCAGAAATAGCCTGCAAGCCTCTAGAACAGCGGTTCTCAACCTGTGGGTCACGACCATCGGAAAACACATATAGCATATCAGATATTTACATTACGATTCATAACAGCAGCAAAGTTACAGTTATGTAGTAGCAACAAAAATAATTTTATGGTTGGGGGTCACCACAACATGAGGAACTGTATTAAAGGGTCGTGGCATTAGGAAGGTTGAGAACCACTGCTCTAGAAGAAAGCTTGTTAGATGGGAAGGTGAATCTCCAAATATTTAAAATTTGCATTTTGGAGTATTTGAACATATGATGTGACCACCCCCAATAGAAATACAAACATGATATGTCTCAATAGAAATAAAAGAATCATTGAAAATATAGAGTGATTGGGGATGAAGTAATGTGTAAGTTAGCTGTAAGAACGAGAACATTTACTTCTTGAGAGCCCTTGTGCTTCAGTTTTCTCATGAGTAAAACGGTGGATGCTAATGTGTAGCTCATTACCTTATGGAAAGTGGCACATGGTAAGCAGTAAGTGAAAGCTGTTGTTGGTATTTAAGGGAATCATTATTATCACTGTTACTATTTAATGGAATTTAGAACTAAAATTAATGTGAGTCATACTTGTTTTCACTAATACCTCCTGTTTATCTTTTTCTCTTTTAGGTTCTTGTTTGGGTATAAGTGCCTTGTGTACTTACCAACGGTCTTTCTGCTAAGTTCCATTTTTTGGATATTTGTGACTTGGTTCATCTTATTCTTCCCTCATATCCTTCAAGCTTAAATTTAAATGCCTATCTCTTTTTGCCTTTAAAAAATAGTAATGCCATTGTTAGAAATATAGATGTTAGACAAGATCCAGGGAATGCAACTCACATTTGTATTCAGTTAGTGATTTTAGTTGAAGATGTTTAGTGTTGAAAATCTACTCAACTTTGAAAATAATCTCAGAGCACACAATGGAAACAGTAGGTGTCTAGTATTTATTACTCATTGGAAGGAAACACTAGAATGAAATATTATTTTATTTGGGTCCGTAAAATATTATTGTATTGCATTGAGTTTCTCTTCAAGGTCAGATGGATCTTTTAATTTGGTCAGCGGTTATAGTTATTAATAAATCTTCTGGGTACCAAGGTGGCCTACATGGAGGGATTTGGGGGAAATGTGGCCTCCTCAGCAGTGGTCAATACAGTGTTATTAACCTAGGTGGTGATTCTTAGTCCACAATAAAAATAAGTATACATTGCTACCCAAAACATATGTGAAGCAAACATTTCAGAAAATGGTATTCCTAATATGTGTTTTACTCTGAAATTTTATTTTATCCTGTTAGATTTCTTTTTAAAAAACATGCTGGTCACAGCCCACTTAATTCTTTCATGGCCCGCTAATGGATGGCAGCCCATGTTTTACAAACAATAACAACAAAACTCACCTAACAAGTAGGTTTATCACTTGAAGAGCAGGGCTCAAACCAAGTCCAGCGTAGGGGTGTGCTGTGCTTTTAGGGTTGACCAAAATCTAGTCACCTAGAAGTAGGAACAGGGATTACTTCTTAGTTTATAGCTATTTATAGCTCCCAGTATGAGGGAGGCATTTCCTCCAATTTTCCATCTTCCTACTTCTTTCCAGGATCCCTTTTTCCCTTCCAAGGATTCTAGGAACCCATTATAAACTTGTTTTCCTTAGGTAGGAGAAGAAGGAATGTGGTGAATAGAAATGTACCTTTAAGCATATTCCTTTAACGTCTATGTTATTTCTATTTCTGGTAATGGCATTTTAAAAAGAAAGAGTAGTACTTATGGGAGAGATTCATACACTCAAATTTAAGAATATTTTTTCATTTGTAAAGTGAGAGGCATATGAGCTCTTAGAGTGTATACATCTACTTTCATTATAGCACATTTCTACTTTAATGGTGCTTCTTATTTCTGAGCATTATTGCTAATATTTTTCCTTTAATCTAAATGAATGGTACAGCATACCATGGAGTTCATTTGACTTTATTAATTTAACCTTTGTCTCATAATTACTGATTTGGGGGCAGCTTTTTAAGCACTAACCTTATTACCACCATTTAATGAAAGCTTGGATGATATCATTATGTGATATAAAAATAATTAAATTTACACGTAACCATCAAGTAACAGCACAGAGATCCCAAGGCTGGTAAATTCTAGGGTAATTGACATACTATTGAGAAGAGATGGCTGATTTTGTTTGTTTGTTTGTTTGTTTACCAACCCATGTGGCATTGGAGTAAACAGTTTTACAATTGTGTTTCTTGATGAATTTTTAAAATTGTGAGCAACTACATTATTTCAAATTTTGCACAAAAAGTACTGTAGTTATTATATACAGTTATTTCAGGTTTATAGAATCAATATTAACAACAATGTAATTCCACTGTAGTTTAAAAACCTCAATTGCAGAATTTGGTATGCAGCTGAGTTTAAGTACAAACTGTTCACTGTTTGAAAAGATGCCATTACATCAGAAGAACTAATGTCCGTAGCCAGACAGAATGTTAAGATGTTGGAGTTGACGAGATGGGATATTTTACTCACATGTTCAGCATAAAGCCATTTGATCCAGGCATCCATATGAGCCTGTTACTGGTGGGAGAATGTCAGTCAGTAGGTGGCACACTTCGCTGTCGGATCAGTGTTTTTCAAGCTGAATGGTAAATGCTGTTTGAACTGCCATGGGTATGAACTAAAGCGCTACCCTGTAAAGGCCCATCTGAGTGTTTAAACTAGTTTCGTCTCAGGTTGCCAAGTCTGGATTGTGTGGGGGCTTCTGCTTCTACAGCTGCCATATGGGAAGGGTCTGGGGCACTGTGGAAAGAGGACCATCTTTGGAATCAGCATGAATTTAAGTTTTGGCCCTTTTCCTTATTATGTACCTTTGGGCAAGTTATTTAATTTCACTGAGTCTCAGTTTTTCTATAAATTGGGGATAATAGTGGGGTGGCTGCAAGGACTACTGTGCTATGATGTTTGTAAATTGTTCACCATGGTCCCCATTATGTAATTGGAATTCTGTAAATAATACCTATTATTATTATTAACTAGTCTTATAAATAAAATCTGTGTAGAAGGCTGCGTGTTGAAATTAATTTTAAGGGAACCTCTAGGTTAGCTCCTCAGATGATCAGTTTATTTTGGTTCAGGAACTAATGGTTTTTATGAGACGGTATCAAGTGAAGGAGGTAAGGTCATACTGATGAGTTGGGAAGTAAGATTAAAGACTAAAGATGAAAGATTCTGGCTATAGCTGAGTTAAGTTTAAGAGGCATAAACTCATGTGAAGTCCTGTACTGGGTTTCAGAGAATACGTACAAGCACATGTGAAAATGACATAGCTTCAGGTCAAGTGAACAAGAACCAGGGGCTTTGACTAAAAGCCTGGTGTGGGTGGTGATGCGCTGTCACGGAAGCCAGTGTATTCTCCAATAGGGTTACGAGGCTTTGAGTGTCCAAGCAAAGGACAGCAGCAATCTCACTGTCCTCTGCACTGGTCAGCACACACCTGAAGTGTGTTTGTTCTGTTTTCAATTCTGTTCTTTTAAAAGAGACAAGGGCAGGCAGGCACATAAACAGGAACTTGACCAGGAACAATGTTGTGTAAGGAACAGTGTTTTATGAAGAATAATGTTGCTGCTTAGCCTGAGCACTGCCTTCCCATTTCAAGTGTTTGGAAGTCGATCATTTGGAAGCCAGTGCATTGTGTAGAATGGGCACTCACTGAGCATGACTTACTGAGCATGAGGAATAGGCTTCTGTAGGGTAGATCTCTAGTGTAGAGCTGAAGTATCTAAAGAATTCTTAAGGAAATAAAGTCCAGTTAGTCCAAGTTGAGAAACTTATTGACTGCAGGAGTCACAAGCTAACTGGAAAGGTTGAGATGTCTATAAATAACTATAATTTGAGGTATAAGTACCATAGAATAAGCATTCTTAGATTCAGATAAGAGGGAGAAGCCTCTGTAGGGAATGACCTACAAAGGGAAGGGGATGTAAGTTAGGTCTGGAAGGCGTTTAGAACCTGGACAAGATAAAAGTGTGGTTTTGGGGAAGGGGGCGGTGGTGGAGATGGGGGAGCATTTGAGGTCAGTGAAGCACACAAAGCAAGGGCATGGAAGCAAGGAATGTTTGGCTTTTATGTGAGGAGATAGAGTGCAATTCACTTTGCTTAGAGGGAGCGGAGTTGTAAGTTATTCAGAGCAGAAATTCAGTTAGTTTAATAAGAGGGATAATCATATTCATTGGTGTGTTTTTGCGAATGTGTCATATATGTTGATCATGGTTTTCTGGGGCAGGGGGAGCAGAAGGATGTGATTCTTTAACAAAAGATCTGTCCTGTGTACTTTTAAATAGTGTTCTTAATTAATTCTAAGTAAGCATATTTGTTAAAATTCAATTTCACACAATTGTCTGTATCCTATCTCTTTCTTAAAGCCAGGCCTATCTGCAGATTAACTAGTAAACTAAACCAATAAGATTCGTTCCTTCCTACCTGAACCAGATGTGGTTGTGCTGGTTTCTGTGAGTTACAGCAGAGTGATTCTGCTGTTTTGGGGTAAGGTTTGTGGTTCTTGCCTCTTACAAGCTCCCAGGTAAAGCCATTGCTGTGGGTCCATGGCTCACAATTTGAGCAGCAAGTGTTTAAGAGTCTTATTTTATGGCCACCTTTTCTACTCTGAAGTTTGGCACCAGACATCTTGGCAACACCCTGGAAGGAAAATACAGTTACTGTGTCAATAATGATTTAAATTGAGCAAGGACACTGGTTTATTACTGGCATATTGGTTGATTACTGCACAAAATTTTACTGGAGCAAAATTTTAATTTTTATACAAAGATTTTGTAGTGAGGACTGTTCATTTATACTTGAAACAATTTTTATCTCAGTTTATATCATGTGCCTTTCCCAAATAATATTTGACTTATAATCACTTTGCAGGGAGAGCAGTTTCTTTTGTTTCTAAATTAACTCAGCCTAAATCAGTTATGACTAGGTATTAAACCTTGCAGTAGGAAATTTTTGCAAGTATTTAATATATAAAAAAATAGTTTTAGTTGAAATCTCTGAACCAAGTGGCTTTTTTCTTTGAATGATTTGGTTAGAATGATCAGAAAATATTTTTCTGGATGCTCTCAGGAGAGCCACATTATACCATTAGAGATTAATTTATTTGAATCTTGAATGTTTTTCATTCTTCAGGATGCTCTTCATGTATTGCAACTCTTCCCATCAATATTTCATGTGGGTTTCAACTATTTGACGAGGGATTAATTTGTCAACCATGACCAAATTCCCATAGGATTAGAACATAGGATGGGGCCAGCTATGGGGGCAGGATGTGTTACATAAAGGAAGATGAGGATAGAATGCAGAGAAGAGAGATTCTTAGGCACCAACGATGAAATTTGCTTGTGTCATAATTATGGGAGGTCCGATATGTTCCTTAACTTGGCTTTAACATCTGGCAGGCACTCCTTTCTATTTTGTTTTTATTTTCAGCATAATAGGCTTCCTCTATTTTTTCTATAAGACTTGGGCAACGGATCCAGGCTTCACTAAGGCTTCTGAAGAAGAAAGGAAAACGGTGAGCTTTCTTTGTAATGTTACTGATTTTAAAATAGGAGGGTGAACTTCATAGCCATGTTGGTTTCTGTCATGACTGTCTAGTGCCTGGCACCTAATAATATTAAATGTGGAATGTATGAATCAGCAAAACAATATCTCTCTACTGTCATACTTTTTCATTTGTTTATATGAAAATTAAAAAAATATATTTTTAATTTCTTTAAAGTAATACCTCACCAAAACTTTTTCAGATGTAATTTCTGTTGGCAGATATGGTCTTCTGCTTTTTTATAGTAACGCTTAGATAATGATCATATAATTAAAGTCCCTCATTTAATGCATGGAGTAGGCAGGAGCTGGCGGGGGGCAGGAGGGTCCTCCTTATTGACTAAGATATGAAGTTGTCAGATGACATGGCATGTCTTCCATTGCCTGTGAATGTTTAGAAATTGGGGAGAGTGTCATCTTTGTTACCTAAACCCCGTGTTCCTCAAAGACTGAGCTCTTGGTGCTTATAACCATTAGTTCTGTTGAATGCTGGTAGTTTTTGTTTCTTTTTAGGAGTGTCTGTGTTTATTTTTCTCCAACAGATTATAACTGGGAGGTCATTGCCATTGATGGAGAGAAGGGGTATAATTTTTGTGCATTCTAATTTATTGGCTGTGGATGAAAATGCAGCCTTGAAAAAAATTACATTATTTCAGACACAGAATGATGTGTTGGCAAATCTTCCAAATGGCTCTGCTAGCTACCTCAGTTTGGGGAGAGAGCTGTGATTATGGTATATGACCATGCATTATACATTCCCTAGTAAATGCAAATGTAAGGTCAAACTGCATATCTTTCAGAATATCATCACCCTCGCAGAGACTGGCTGTCTGGACTTCAGGACATTTTGTACATCGTGTCTTGTGAGTGAGCCTTTTCTTCATAATGTTTTCCCATAGTAAAAGCAAATTCTTGGTTATATTGCTCATGTAAACATTTATCAAATCTTTGCGGTATATTTCTACACCTTTGTTTCTACCAGGTTCTAATTTTGCATTACTGTCAGGACAATTTTCTGCCTTGAACATATAGGGAATGATGTTTATGATCTCTTGACGTTGCCTATGATTAAAAATCTCTTTGTATGTTTTGTTTGCTTTTTCCTGCCACAAAGCATATGTTAAAACTAACTTTGAGCCAGAGGCTCATGGTGACCCAAGAACCACTTAGTGAAACTTCTCATTTTGCAGTTGAGGTATTATAGCCTAAACGGAGAATTAACTTTCTCCAAATTATTGGCAGAGCCAGAAATGTACCTCATTTTACCTTCTCCTCAGTCCAGTGCCCACTGTGCTGTATGGTACTGCCTCATCCCATTAGTCAGTGCTGGTAGCCCTGGAATTCAGGTCCCCTTTAGTGATGGCTTCAAAATGGACATGTAGTCGTAAATATTACAAAGGCATTCCAGAGCCTTTCTGTGAATTGATGGTCTGATATTTAGGATGATTTGTGCCACTGTCTTTATGATTTAGGAATAAGATTTTGTTTGTGATTTGTTACCAGTTTGAGAGACTGATTTTTGCTTGGTCCTCTCTTAATTGCCCACTTAGGTAAGGAAGCCACTAAGGTCACTCCATTGCCCTGTGTGCAAATCCTGTGTGGCTCGATACGACCAACACTGCCTGTGGACTGGACGGTGCATAGGTGAAAATTTTTCAATTACCACATAAAGTTAAGCTTATATTTAGTTGTGTGTGTGACTCATAGAAAAAGTAGAAGGGAATCCATTTTGTAGCTCTTGCTTGTCAGAGAATCATCTCTAACTGTGGAACAATCAGTCGCCATGATACACACTGACCACCAGGGGGCAGATGCTCAATGCAGGAGCTGCCCCCTGGTGGTCAGTGCGCTTCCACAGGGGGAGTGCTGCTCAGCCAGAAGCCGGCTCATGGCTGGCCAGCGCAGCAGCAGTGCCTCTGTGGCAGTGCTAAGGATGTCTGCAGGGAGTGGGCCTAAGCCTTCAGTTGGACATCCCCTGAGGGCTCCCAGGCTGCCAGAGGGATGACTGACTGCCAGCTTAGGCCCAATCCCCTGGGGAACGAGCCTAAGCTGACAGGTGGACATCCCCCGAGAACTCCTGGACTGCAAGAGGGTGCAGGCCGAGCTGAGGGTATACCTCCCAACTCCTGAGTGCGTGAATTTTCATGCACCAGGCCTCTAGTATCATTTTATAGAATTTTAGCATTTGTAATGCACTTTCATATACTGTATTCTATTTGATCATCAAACACCACTCCTATGAGGTTGGTATTATGACCTCCATTTTAGTGTTGAAAAATATAAAAGGTAAAAAATTATTTGCCTGAAGTCATTTTAGTAGTATCAGTTTTCTCCTCCAAATACCATGTTCTTTCCATAGTTTGTGTCTTGTCTCTCTTGTTCACCTTCTCCACCTGCCTTCTTAAAGGCTCAGGTAAGAGCTAGAACCAGAGATGGCGGAGATCTGGGATTGCCTTCCACCCAAGGAACATTCGTTTTCCTGATCTGCAGCCCTGGGTTTCCTCTGAGCCATCACAGTAAAAGCCAGGGGTTTATTATGAGGAACTGTGGTCATGGGTTTTTAGAAGATAATGCTTCCATGATCTTGATAAACAAAAGGCTGCCTCAGCTCACTCAGGTTTCCTTGGTGCATTTTGATGCTCTTTACTTTTCCTAGAGAACAGGTAAGAGATAATTTCTGAGGTCCCAAACTTCATGGACCCATCCCACCTTAAAGATGAGATGATTGGCATTATAACAGGCAGCTTTGAATGGCAGTGGGAAGACAATAGTAATGAGTCCATATATTTTTATCACATTGCATTTAACATGGTATTTTCACATGCATCATTCTCTGATTACTTTGGGCCTGTGAAGTAGAAGATAGTATCCCTACCCTCTCCCCCCCAAAAGGATATTATCCCCATATTACAAGTAAGAACACTGGATTAGGGAGGTTGAATATTGTACCTATAGTCATGCAACTAGTCATTCATAAACCTAGGTCTCATTCCAATGGGTGTTGCTCCTGCTGGGCTTTGCTGCCTGTGGAGAAGATGGGAATGTGATGGTACCTCAGGAACTTTTGTGTCATTAGCATAAAAAATGCCCCCATCTCCAACATCAGAGGGCAGCACATAGAAGAGTGGAGCTTGGTTGCCTGGCAGCCTCACCCCCTCTTTGCTTCTATACTAGTAAGCCTATATTGGGCTGCAGGTTGCCCCTCTTTTGCTATGTCCAGTCTCTTGCAACATATCTATTTAGTGCTGCTCCTCAGATTCATTTTCTCTGTTCCCTGATCAAGTCAGTCCTTGATGTCCAGAAGTTATACCTGTATAAGCTTATCACATGGAAGAAAGGAAGAGACAGGGTATGATTTCCCCCAATTCCTGCCTACTTCTCCCTCCAGCACAGTATAGGCCAGTGATGGCGAACCTTTTGAGCTCGGCGTGTCAGCATTTTGAAAAACCCTAACTTAACTCTGGTGCCGTGTCACATATAGAAATTTTTTGATATTTGCAACCATAGTAAAACAAAGATTTATATTTTTGATATTTATTTTATATATTTAAATGCCATTTAACAAAGAAAAATCAACCAAAAAAATGAGTTCGCGTGTCACCTCTGACACGTGTGTCATACGTTTGCCATCACCGGTCTAGGCCATCCTAGAGCTGTATATGTTTAGTAAACTTTGTTGTATTAAAAATAAAAACAAAGAACCTCTTTTAAGTATTGAATAAATATTAGTTCAGTTAACATGGACAATTGACCATGACATGTTAGAGTGTTTGGTTTTGGTTTAATGGTACTTAAAAGCACAGCAACAGCTTATTTCTTTACTTTTGTGAAGGCTATGGACAGGAAGTGGTTAATAGGCTCTTGGTCTGGAACATAATTGTACGAAAATATTAAATATGTTGATTTTCTTTTTTATGTAGGTTTCGGCAACCATCGCTATTACATATTCTTCTTATTTTTCCTTTCCGTTGTGTGTAACTGGATTATATATGAATCTTTCATGTGTAAGTATAAATTTTTCTTACAGCAAGCTCATGTACCCACATCTACATACACTTTTCCTTGTGAACTTGTATATATCACATTTGGGCTAGGCGACTATAAACTATACCCTAATAAAAACTAAACGGATGTTGGTAAGATTCTTGGCGTTGGGAAGCTGCAGGAAATGCTACGAGAGGTTAGTTGTCAATACCTTTGAAAAGCTTTTACTCTAAAATGATCTTGATAAATTAGAAAAGTGGTAAAAAAATACAAATTTATTTAAGGCAAGTGCAGATTTATCACCCAGTGAAAGGAGGAAAAATCAGCTGCTCAGGTACAAAAGCAAGTGGAGTGGTAAGTAGATAAAAGGAGGCAGGGGGAGATTGGAGGAAGACAGGTTGGGGGACTTGGAAGGTTGTCATATTGGAACAAAACTCAAAGCTCATTTCCTTTGATAAATCTCAGGTCACAACTTATAACTGTACCAATCATTGAAAGGTTGGAAATAATAACTTGGAAGAAAATATTAGATCGCTTATTCTGCATTCCTGAGCAAGGAAAATGACTTTTTAGTAGCAGTGTAAAGGCCATCTCTGGGCATCTCATGTAGGGAGTGACAGCCAGCTGTTCCAAGGTGATCAACTAAGAATAGCTTTTAAGTTGTAGCAAGAAGGATTTTGGTAGCTCCTAAGAATGCATGACTCTGCTTTTCAAACCTTGGAATAGGTTACCTTACTGGAAAAACCTGTAGTGCTTGTGATTTATTTTGACTTTGTTTGTTATTGTAGTTTATTTTGACTCTGTTATGTATTTATTGTGAAAACTTTGGGAGAGTTTGGCTCTAGAGCTTCTATTTCCATCCCCTTCCTGTTGAGCATATATTTATGCTCAAATCTTGTCTTTTGCCAGTAAAATACTAATTTGTTGCTTGAGCTAAAATCTGGAACGATTCAGGAAGACATTAGGAAAGTTTTTTCCTACCTTTTTTTCTTTTTCCTTTATCATCCACCCCTCCCTAAGTCCTCCCTGCCCTCCTGGTTTTCTTTAGTTAAAATTTTTAGTTTTTGAAAGATAGTTGCTTCTACACTGTCCCCCAGCCTCCCAGCTCCCCTCCCCAGAAACATTCAGTATTACAAGTTTTGTTTGGTCTGGGGTTTCATTTTTAGAGGTTGCTAATATCTATGTGAAATGGTTTGTTTCTTGCCCTGCTATAGGCATGGAAGGACTTCAATTACCTTGCCAGCCCCTTTCCCACCTGACATCACTTGGGAATGCTTTTGTGGCTCAATATAACTGTCACCATCTCAAATGGGTCTAATAGTCAGAAGATTGTGATCCCTGATCTCAGTTCTTGCCAAAGGCCATCAGGGATCCTGCGCATTGGAATTTGAAACTTCTTAGATTATGTCCTGTGGTGTAGAAAATAAAAGATTTTTTCAGTGCTTCTTTCTGTTGAAAGGGCTGCCCTTTGAAGGCCTGACATTAAAGCATGTTCCTGGAAAACCTTTTTAAGCTGGCCCATGGACCAACTTGTGCCTTGGACTTGATCCTAGGGAAAAGGAGCCAGATTTTACACCACTCTTGTCTCTCCCCCTTCTCTCTCTCCACTAAAAATAGTCCCCTTTGTTTGGTGTGTCTGTCCAGCATAAGACTGTATTGATAAGGACAGAAGTGATTTTCCATTACATTCATTCTTTCCAAGTTGTTTTCTTATGACATGCATTAGTTCTTCCCTCCTCTTTGTCTGTATCCTCTGGCTCTGAACGAATTTGTATATAATGTTTTGTTTCTTAGGAACAGTCTCACCTTTACATTCACTTACAACTAGCTGAACATATCTGGTTACTTTTTATCCCATTTATATTTTGACAGTTTTTTTTACAATGAATGAGGACATTGTATCTTTTATCATTTCACAGACAGGAAAAATGAACTTTAAAAAAAAGTGCTCCATTTTTCTAATGCGTCCTCCCTGTCTTCCCACCTTTTTTGTTTACCATTAACACTCCTGTTGCTGTGCACCCTCTCTGTGTGATCCAGTTGCAGCTCCTTTTGGCTCTGTACAGGCACCATCCATTTCATCTTGTGAGGTCTGTTTTCAGGGTGGACAATAAGTAACTCAATGTGTCTGCATTGTACAAGTTACAGGGAGAAAGATCTTAGATTATTGCTAGAAAGAACATTCTAAGTATCCGAGCGGTCTAAAGATGAAAACAGTTGACTTGGAACCACAATAGGAGTTCCCTCTCATTAGCCAGTGAATGTGTTAGTACATATTAAAGTGTTATATTGCATATCAGATAATGTACATGGCCACTTACAGTATATCTTTTATATTAAATCTGAAATCAGTTCTATGGAAACTTCAGTTTGAGGTCATGCTGTGTTATCGAAATAATTCCCAGAGGAGAGCAGTGGAAGACCATAAGCTGAAAGAAAGTCAATACTCTTCCTACTCAGCTGTCTTTGCTGCCTGCTGGTGGAAATTACATTCTCTTATGTCATACCAGGTGCATGGGATGCTTCTTTCTGTGCTGTCCCAATGAGAAGCTCTGAAGAGTGTAATTTGCCTTGTTACCTTGATTATTGCTCTGTGATGATTGCTGTTAGAATGCTTCTGGCATATATCCATGAAAGATAGCTGGGACTTAAATGATACAAAAAAATATATAGATATTTGGGACAAAAATGGACAGTCGGTTGATAGTGAAGTCATGGACTCATATATCCTTCCTGTCCCAGGAGCTCTTAAGTATTGCTTTGGGAAATTGCCTAAAACTGCTGATCAAATTGTCAGAGGCATTTATGAAACCTCAGGGTACAAATCTACAGATTTCTCATTTCAAAAATAGTTTGCCCTTTATTAACAGTCATGGTGCCTGTAAAAGTCATTGGCTTTATATAACCTTAAAGGTCTGTTCCCTTGTTTCTCCTGCTTCCTACCTACATTCACCTCACTACTGTCTTAGCTATATGGGTTAGGGGTCAGTTTTCTGAAGACCATAGTGAAGTCCTCTTTTAATTGGCATATAAATAAATTCTCCTGGGGGAGAAACTGAGCTGTGATCATATGAATCTTACTCTCTTTCTGTACTTTTCTTGGGGCATCTTTCTCATGCATTTCCTCACCTGGCCTTTTTCCCTCTGCAGGATAAATTACGGTGCCAATGCAGAAGTACGCTCGGAAACTGCATGCTCTTAGCTTGTGTTCCAGTGGTATCTAGGTGCTTACAGGATTTCTTGTGCCCACAACAATGGCCTGTTGATCAGAACCCTTAATAAGAGTTTATATTTAGTTCTGTGATGGCCCATATCTTGCTATAACATGGATAAGATAGAGAATTTTCTAAGACAAATATTTATTAAACTAGAGGCCTGGTGCACGAAATTTAGCCCCTGTGGGATCGAGCCTAAACCGGCAGTCTGACAGTCCTCTCACAATCTGGGACTGCTGGCTCCCAACTGCTCACCTGCCTACCTGCCTGCCTGATTGCCCCTAACTACTTCTGTCTGCCAGCCTGATCACCCCCTAACCACTCCCTTGCCAGCCTGATCGATGCCTAACTGCTCCCCTGCTGGCCCGATCACCCCCAACTGCCCTCCCCTGCCAGCCTGGTCGCCCCTAACTACCCTCCCCTGCCAGCTTGGTTGCCCCTAACTGTTCTCCCCTGCAGGCCTGGGCCCCCCCAACTGCCCTCCCCTGCTGGCCAGATCTTCCACAAATGTCCTCCCCTGCTGGCCATCTTGTGGCTATGGGCGCCACCATCTTTGAGGGTGTGGCAGCAATTAGCATATTCCCTCCTTATTGGCTGTGGGCGCTGCCATATTTGCAACAGTGTGAGGGTCAATTAGCATATTCCCTCTTTATTAGATAGGATATAATCATTCCTGAGTTCTTGAACAATTAACTTCTCTGGCCAGTGCATTTTATGCTGAATATGCTGATCTTAATGATGATTTCATGGACCTTTTTTGCTTTTATTTCTTCACTGCTGACTACCAATGCATTGTTATCATAGCCATAATTAACAATGAGGTACCGTTTTTCATCTGTGTTAGAAGAGCTGGCATTTGGAAGATAAAATCTTGAAGTCAGGTTCTGATCTGGGCCATTATGTCTTCCTTTTTTCCCTAAAAAAACTTCAGTGATTTTTAATCTTCCTGCATAATGATCAGCAATTTATTGTCTTTTTAAATAATGGGTTCCTTTTTGTGAATTTACAGATTGGTCAAATCATTGTGCCACAACATTCAGAGAAGATGGACTATGGACCTACCTCAATCAGATTGTGGCTTGTTCTCCTTGGGTTTTATATATCTTCCTGCTGGCAACTTTCCATTTCTCATGGTCATCATTTTTATTAGTAAATCAACTCTTTCAGGTATTTATTTCTCTTCTTATAATGCCTTTGGGTAATATTTCCAATAACCTGTATTAGGGTAGAAAGACTTTAATTTCAAATCAGAAGACTTCGTTTCTAGTGACTGTCACATTCTCTGTGGGTGTAGGCATGTTATTTGACTCCTGAATTTCAGTTTCCTTGTCTGTGAAATGGGGATAATAATGCCTGTCTCCTCTCACAGCAGGGTTTAAAGTTAGAATGATAAATTGTTAAGTGTTGGCCCTAGGAATTATCTAACCTATTATTTTACAGAGGTACAGAGGTGAATTGAATTGTTCAAGGTCATCCAATGAGTAGGAAAATCTGAACGGGAAACTTAGGTCTTCTGACAGTCCCATTTAAGGGCTTTTTCCATCATGCAGTTAAAATATATGGTGTGTGAAAGCGTGGTATAAACCGTGAAGCATGCAAGTGTGAGGCGATTATTCTCCCTCACTTTTCCAAGCCTGTTTGTTATCATTATTATGCAGTGCTTAAGTGGGTAGAAGTGGAGAAGAAATGAAATACACACCACTAACCAGTGGACATGGTAATTGCACTTCCAGAGAAGGTCATGGCCATTAGAAAGTCCAGGCTCCAGGGCAGTAGTCATCTTCAGCTTTCTATGGCATTTCTATCCCTTCCCTGCTGCCTGTCTTCCCCTGTGCAAAACCTGGTTCTCATTGTTGTTATGGCTGCCCGTATGGAATGGACAGCCACAGTCAGTCTGCGCCTCTGCGCCATTTACGGTAAGACTCAAGATAATTAGAGCATTATTCAATGAAAGCAAAATACATTCCACTTTTATGGGGAAGGAATCAATTCTACAATAATAATAATAAAATTTTAAAAGGGAAAATTGCTAAGGAAAGGAATTAAGCTAATAATACTGACTGAACTGAAGTTTCTGAACATTCATCTTAAATTCCTATCCCTCTGATATCTACAGACTCGGGCACTAAGAATGGATATCAGCATCCGCGATTATTAACAGTAATTACTGTCATTTATAATACCTAATATTTATACTTGCTTCACATATTCCAAAGCACTTTCCCATCTATTTCCTTACAAACATTTGAGATGCAGACTGTGCCAAAGTAGTATCTTCTCCATTATATGGATGAGCAAACTAAACCTAAAGATGCTGAATGCCTTGCTTGTGGCCATAGGGCCAGCAAGAGGAGTTAGATGTAGAACCTAAGGCTTGAGGCATCAATTCTAATTTTCTTCCTCCTTTTCTGGACTCTTAGAATAAGTACAAGTATGTGAGACTATAATATTCTTAAATTTATAAACAAAAAAAGGTTACTATATTTGTGTATATTTTCTAAGGCAGGAAAATGGACTCAATGCTTTGGATAGTTTTCAAGTATAGGAATTCAGAGCAAAGTTTTCTTAATAAACAAAACAACTCAGTTATTCGAAGCCTTTCAGTTCCTGAGGGCTCTGGTGAGTTATGGTTTTGACTGTGGCCAGTCATACTGAGACTGTCGACTGCTGGTTAGGACCATGGGCTCTGTTCTCACACTGACCGAGGTGTCAGTCCCAGTTCTGCCACTTTCTAAGCTGTGGGGCCTTGGACCAGTTGCTTCACCCCTGTAAGCCTCTGCACTAGGTATTTTAAATATATTATCTCAAACCCTTAAACAATCTAATGAAGATGATAATCTCTGTTTTAAAGATAAGGAACTTGATGTTTGGGTTTTTTGGGGGGATTAAATGAGATAACTCAGTAAATAGTAGTATTTTTAAAAATATATATTTTTATTAATTTCAGAAAGGAAAGAAGAGAGATAGAAACACCAATTATGAGAGAGAATCATTGATAGGCTGCCTCCTGCACACACCCCCAGCGGGGATTGAGCCCACAACCTAGACATGTGCCCCGACTGTGAATCAAACAGTGACCTCCTGGTTCATAGATTGATGCTCAACTACTGAGCCACACCCGCTGGGCAATAGTAGTGTTTTTAATGACATGGGAGTTTTCAAGTTACCTTAATTCTTACCTCTCCCCAAATATATGGATTTAAATATTCTTTACTTAAGATTATTAACTTTTTCACTTGGCTATTTTCAAAGAGATACTAAGAAGAATATGCAAGTCGAAATAATTGCATTGATACGGACCTTATATTATTTTATTTATCTAAAAGTTGCATGCTGAATTTATTGAGAATCTAAACATGGCCATAAGCCATGGCTTGAAGTAATTACTAAAGCAGTTATTTCATGATCTCATTAAGTCAATACACTGTGCTTTCCTGAAGGTTAATAAAATAAGACAATAAAAAAAAAGCCCAGCTACTAGATTTACATAGGAGAGTTTACTTAGAGCTGCTGAATCTTTGCCTTCACCTTAATCCTTGGTTAGAAGTCTAGGTGATACTGTTGTTGTTTTTTGGGGGGGGGGGGGAGGTGGTACTGCATGTTTTCCAGTTTCCCATGATGCACTGCTAAGAGTGATGGAGCCCTGATGTGGTATTTTTCATGTACCTCCCAACCTTTTTCAGATTGCTTTTCTGGGCCTGACCTCCCATGAGAGAACCAGCCTGCTGAAGCAGAGCAGGCATATGAAGCAGCCATTGTCCCTCAGGAGGACACCATACAAGTAAGTGAGATCTATTCTTTCCACTGAGTCCTAAGGAAGATGCTAGTCTAGCCATTGGTTGCCCAATCCAGTGTCACCACCCTTGGCCATGCTGCTGTCCTCTGACTTGCTATCTGGTAGAGTTGACCCTCTTTTTTCTTGGAAGCCTCAGTGACAGGAGATGAGTGGTAAGGTCATGAGCCCCAAGGTGGTAAGAATTTGGGATTTAGTCTGTTGGACTCAGCACAAATAATAAGTGACTGTGAAGTTTTGCCAAGATGGGGAATCTCTGCAGTCAAGCCACATGGTCACAAGGTTGCATATTGCTGGCATGAAGTCAATGTGAGATAATTAAGCATGTGGCTGAGAAAGGCAGCCATAAGGCTGTCTGTACAAAGCGTTAGATTGTGAACTTTGCCAAGATTTTCAACCTGGCTTTCTATCACCAGTAATTATTTCAGCCCTATGTTTAAGGTGCCCACCTGTGTCAGGGAGAAGCCAGCTTTTGAGGTTGGGGTATGTTCTTCCTAGAGTGTTGGTTGTATAAAACCTGTCCTCAGTTGAAAATGAGAATGTTTGTATAGGAAGGTCGTCATCTTAAGATATGAAGGATCAGGCTTTGAAGCTTATCTCCCTGTCACATGTATAGGGGTCTTGGAGGCTGGAAATGCTGTGGAGGTGACCCAGAGTCCTCCAGGGATTTGAGCGCTCACTGCATATCTCATGAGCAGTCTATTTTAAAGCACATTTGTGGTACAAGATGAAACTGTTAGGCTGTTAGACAAGGAACTCAGAGCCTGGGATGTGACTCTGATGTGTATTTAAAGAGGAAAGAAAATGACTTTATTGGGAAGAGGTGGCTAAAGTGATAGAGAGCGGAGAGCGGTGTTAAGCTGGTGATGATTGTTTCAGACTGGCAGTGATATTAATAAAGTCCCTTTCTTAGTGGTTTAACCAGAGGGATAAATACTAAAGTATGGAAGCCTTTGTGGTAGAGGTGGAATTTTCAGCTGAGCCTTGAAAGTTGTGGGGCAAGCATGATGGAGATGGGAGGAAGGGCTATGACTATATCAGAGTTTTGGAGGACTAGACAATCTCCAGGATGTAAAGTGAACTGGGAGGAATTGAGATGGGCATCATTTAGAGGGCTATATAGGTTTAGAAAAAACCCATCTTGTTGATTGTTTTTTTTCTGGGCTTTGAGATAATCAAAGTGAATTAGGGCAGTGGAAAGGAAAGAAAGAAACTTACTGATGGCAGTGACCATTCCAGTGAGTGGGAGACCCAAAATGAAGCTATTTGGTTGCTGGGCAGAAGCCAGGGACTCTCGAAATTAGGGATTCAATTCCAGAACTGGAACTAGGCTTCTCTTTTAAGGTCCCATAAACCCAGTAACTGATTCACTTCTGGATTCCTGTAGGAATTCCAAAGGACATTATACATTGTACAATCTCAGTGAATGTTTATGGTGTGAATGAACGTTTGTCAAGAGCTACACAGGAAATGTAGTAAGACATGTTCTCTTCCTTTCTTGGCAGCCTTGGGTTCACCCAGAACCTTGCAGATTTCTTTCAGTGTGGCTGCTTTGGCTTGGTGAAGCCCTATGCAGTAGATTGGACGTCACAATACACCATGGTCTTTCACCCAGCCAAGGAGAAAGTTCTTCGCTCAGTATGAAGCAAAGCAGCCCAAAGCTCTCACTCTGATTTGTTTGTGTTTATGTTCACGCCCTGTGGTGTAAAAGTGAAGATTTAGAGTTCACCTAAGCCCAGAGGAAACACAGGTGGTTTTTAAAGCCATTTGGTGAAAACAGAAGTTGTCGATAAAGGCATTATACTTTTTTTAGAGTTAACAAGAGCAGTCTTGGCAGACATCTAAAAAAAAAAAACTTTTATATTTTTTACAAATGCAAGTTACTTTTGGGGGGGATAATATTCACTAATTATGGATAAAATGTGTTATTTTCAGATACTTTATTGGCTGTTTCAAAATAGTCTGTTCTTTAAACTTGTAATTTTTGATAAATTATTTGTCTTTGTTTTATCTATAAATATGTAAAAATATTTAAATAGATATACTGTTTTGCTTTCACACTTAATAAAAAAAATTTTTGTAGTTCTTTTGTAGTTTCTGACACTTAACATTTCTCAAATCTTAAATTGAGGAAAGGTACGTATAAAACAAACTGATTCATGATTCTAGTCATGAGTTGAGATCACTGTTAACACCAATAAGCAAGATTTAATTTAGTTTTCCATCTTACTTAGAAAATTGAACATAAGAAGTCTTAAAGATGAATTATTATTTTCACTAAGTAACCTGAAAATATTAGACTGGTGTGATTATAATTGCTAATTTCCCTTGTCCTGGAGGAAATACTAACTGACTTTAATTCTTGGTATTGTATATTATACACCCTTGGATATGTCACTTTCCTGCTGAAAACCCTTCCATAGGTTCCCATTGCTCTTAGGGTAAAAGCTAAAATCCTCATGTAACTTCTGAGGCTCTGAATAAACAACAGAACATTATTTTGTTTACCATACTCACTCTGCACCAAGCTTTGTACTCTAACCAGATTCGTTCTTTCTCCTACAGAGCCTTTGCAGGTAAGGAAATGAAAATCTAAAGAAGTTGTATCTTCTCCAAGGTTACATAGATACTAAGTGGGATGACCACTCTAGAGTCCCAGTCACTTAGAATACTGCCTGACACATATGTGTTCAATAACTATTTGAGTTAATCTGTGGAATAGCTTGTTGAATGAATTGAAGGGTTTTAAGCAGGACATGATGTGATCAAGAGTTGTATTTGAAGACTGATTCTCAACTTAACTTTTACCCCAAGAGCAATGGGAACCAATGGAAGGATTTTTTTTTTCAAGTTATAGCTTCTCTTCCTCTCTATCAACCACTGCCAGGTAAGTCTTCTCAACTTGTGGTCCATAGACAGTTTACATCAGAATCAGGCTGGGCACAGGTCGGGGTGTGGCATCCAGGATCAAGTGTTCAGAGTTTAAATTCCTCATCTCAGACCTTCCAAATTACTGTCTGAGAAGTGAATTCTGAAATCCATATTTTCTCAAAGTTCCTTGGTGGTTCTTACGCGCACATGCTGTAGTTTGAGAACTATTTTTAATTAAGGAATCTTACTTTCCACCATTCTATTTTGGCTTTTCCCTCAAGTACATAGTGTGAAAGTTTAAAAAAAAAAAAAAGGTATGAGAATCAGTGTTTTATAGTTAGACACCTTGGTTCGACTCCTGGATCTACTAGTTACAAGCTACTTGTACTCTGGGCAAATGACTTAATATCCTCGTGCCTCAGTATCTTCATTTGTATTATGTGGATACTAATAGCATATACCTCCAAATGTTGTTAAGAGGATTAAATGTGTTAATGCATGTAAAGTGGTTAGAATTATAACAGGCACATAGTAAATGACAATAAATGCTGGCTATTTAGAAATCTTTGGGAAATAGACTGGAGAGAGAGAGAGACAGACAGACAGACAGACACTAACTAGTGGTAGTGGTAGGGAAATGCACCAAATTCACCCTTCTGTCCTCTGTGTTGCCTGTTCTGGGGCCAGAATTCTGAAAACTATCTCCTTGCCAGCTGACTTTCTATTAAATTCTGACAGTAAACTGGAAGAAAGAGGGGAAGAAAGGAGTTATTCCATTGTACTTGCCGGCTATTCCTCTCAGTGTTGTTTGAACAATGGCCCTTCACCCTGACAGTGACAGCTGAAAATCAGTGTCTAGCTTACCTCCCCCCTCCCCCAAAGCAGTCCCGTTATACCCCTTAGAAGCACCAGCAGTAACCAGGCAGGGCTCTCTCCTCAGAGGTCTGACTTAGTCCCTGGGAGACTTCTCCTCGAGGCATCCAAACTAGGATTCCTCCACCTGTTTTCTGTCTCCCCACCCCAGAGGTGGTAGACACTTCCTGCAGTTACCTCTGTTAGGTCAGTGTGTTCCTCCTTACATTTTCAAAAATATTAATTGCTGTTTAGCCAATTCCCTCTATTATTTTATTTCTCTTAAAAAAACAACAACACACAACTGGTGTGGTTTCTGTTTTTCTGACTGGACGCAGACTGATAAAGTATGTTAGAGATAAGCTTTTAATAATGGTCCAGGCTAGAAGTATTGAAGGCACAGAAGCAATCCGCAGGCCCAGATTACTGAGTGAATGTGGGGGAGAGGGAGAGGAATCACAGGTGACTTTGAGGTGTTGAACCCAGTGAATGAGAAGATGGCAGTGCTATTCTAAGATAAGGAAAACAGGCGGAGAGACTAGGGGGTGAGTTTGGTGGTTGGTGCCTGCTGTTTGAGATACTTGCAGGCTATCCAGTGGAAAAGTCTAGAAGGCAGCCAGAAAGAGACCAGCATCATCTGCACAGATGATAAGATTGTTACAAGGGAGAAGGAGAAAAATAGGATGAGAATGAAAAAGAGAGCTGCCCTCCTGAAATGAGAACATCAATTTGAAAAAGAGACCAAAGGTGACAACGCAAACAAACAAACAAAATGTGTGTGAGAGAGAGGAGAAGGGCAGGAATGTGACCTTGTGGAGGAATATGGATTTGGAGAACTGGAGGAGGAAGAAAGGACTGGGAGGAGGTTGGGTAAGAGGATAATCAAGAGAGTACAGCGTCATGGAATTCAAGAAGAATTAATTTCAAAGAGGAAACAGTCAGTGGTCAGGAACGAAAGAGAGTTGAGAAAAACAACTGAAGAAAGACCAGAGTTTATGATTAGAAGGTGGGGTGGGGTGGGGAGATGCTCAGATGCTAAGAACTAAGTGGACTCTGAAAGGAGAGGAGAAGGCCATAGCTTGGAGGTGAATAGAAAGGTTTTGTTTTAAGTTTTTTAAAAGCTAAGAAACCTGATCATGTTATTTGGGGCCTAAGGAATGCGACTGTTAGATTATTTTGCCCTAACTTCATTTCTTTTCCCAAATGTCTGTATAGCCACATTAGAAATAGCACATTTGAATCGGTTTCACAAATATTGGGCAAAATCCTGATGCTTCTTCCTATGATTTAAATGAACAGGATGGACACTGAGCAGTGAGATATACACACCTCAGGTGTAAGACATCCAGTGTTTCAGGTGGGTGTTAGTCAAGGGAGTTAATGCTATAATATACTTCCCCTAAATCTCAGTGGCTTAACGCAAGGCGTATTTCTCCCTTTTACATCAGTCCATTTAGCTGTTAGCAGGTGTTCTTCCATGCAGGGACCCAGGCTCCTTCCCAACCTAGTGGCTCCACCGTTGCCTAGGGCCTCAGTGCCCACTGCCCTTCTACATCCACAGGTCTGGAGAGAATGGAGACTCCCCTGGAGGCCTTGGAGGTCAGACCTCCGTTGGCCAACTGAGTCCCATGTCCCAGTCTCTGGCAGGGGAGCATGGGAGATGTAATAGAACAGTGTGCCCTGAGGCAGAGGAGAAATAGGAAGACTGCTGATCCACAATAATGTTCTGTCTTTGTTTTGTTTTGTTATTTTTCCAATACCAAGGCCTTTCACTCCAGTAGATAGTACTAGTAAACTCTTTTGAAATTCTTGCAGAATTTGCATTTAGTTCTGCCTGCACTCTTCCATTTCACTCACTCAACAAATGTTTGTTAAGTGCCTGCTATTTGTCAGGCACTGTGAAGACAAGCCTGCCACATTCTAACAAAAAGGTGAGAATTCAAGGTTTCACGTGCCATATTATATACTGGCTGTGGAAACAGAGCTGGATTAATTCTCAGGTAGTTTAGCAGAGGTTTTGCAGAGGAGATGGCATTGGACCTGTGACTTGGAGTTCACCAGGCTAAGGAGTTGGATGAGAGGGTAAAGATGGAGGGGGTTCCATCTTCCAGACATTCCAGGCAACAGGAACAGCATTGGCAAAAGCATGATGGCGTGAGGCTACTTGGCATCTTTGGAAAGCTTTAAGTCTTCAAGTACAGGTGGAGCTTACTTATATGGAAGAGATTGACTAAAGTAAGTTGAAGAGGTAAGTCCAAGGCCAATTCATGAAAATCCTTATATGACATGCTGTTATGGGCCAAATTATACCCATCCCCCCAAATTTATATGTTGAAGTTCTAACTCCTTGCTCCTTCCACGCTGACACCACTCCTCAGAATGTGATTGTGTTTGGATATAGGGTCTTTACAGAGGTAATTAGATTAAAATGAGGTCATTCAAGTGTTCCCTAATCCTATATGACTGGTGTTCTCAGAAGAAAAAACTATTAGTACACACACATGCACACACATGCACACAAGACTACAAAGAGAAGGTGGTCATCTACAAGCCAAGGAGAGAGGCCTCAGAAGAAATCAGCTCTGCTGACACCTTGGGCTCAGACTTCTAGCTGCTGAAACTGAAAATGTCATTTCTGTTGTGTAAGTCACCCAATCCATAGTACTTTGTTATGGAAGCCTAGCAGCCTGAAATATATACCGAAGAATAGGAATAGAGGGGTATGTTCTAGAGATGTTTTGGAGTCAGAATCAGGGAGGCTTAGAGAGTGAGGCAAGGAAGGGTGAGGGCGAGGGCAATGCTAAGGGTTACAGAAGTTTTTAGCTTCAGCCTGCAAGTCTCTAGTAATATATACCGAAGAATAGGAATAGAGGGGTATGTTCTAGAGATGTTTTGGAGTCAGAATCAGGGAGGCTTAGAGAGTGAGGCAAGGAAGGGTGAGGGCGAGGACAATGCTAAGGGTGACAGAAGTTTTTAGCTTCAGCCTGCAAGTCTCTAGTTGGGGACTTCCTCCTGAAGGGCCAGGGTAGTGTACTGCTTTCAAAGTCAGGCAGGTTAAAGAGGACTGGATTTAGTTAGTTCAATTAATCACTGGTATTATTAATTATTGACAATGATGGGAATCTATAATAAAAGGGTAATATGCTAATTAGGCAAAACAGCTGAACGACCTTCTGGATGTCCTTCCAGACATCCTTCTGGATGAAGCGGGGGCTGCGAGGGCTGAGCCCCTTGCACGAATTTCGTTCATCGGGCCTGTAGTCTCTTATAAAGCTCTGGCAAAAAAGTTAACAAATTAAAACTACATGGTCCTGTGCTTGCTTCTGAAGAGAATGTAAAATGTACATCATCAGGCTGTTTTGATAAAACTGAA